TGTTCAAATGGCTTACGTTACATGGCAAAATAAATATGAAACAAATGAAACTGTAATCTCAAAATGGGAGTATTGTTTGCAATGCCATCAAGAGGTGAACTTCTTGTTCTCCTTTTACTTTGCTCGTACTGTAAGTAAGTTCGGAATAATACTCTTCTCTCCCACCATTAACATAAAAAATCTGTGAGCTCTGCTATGCCAAATAAATAGCACTTTTGTTGCTTTTAAGTAGTATAATGCTGAAACTATTTGATATAGTTCTGGAGGAATAAATGATAATTATTTTCCATTACACTGGCACTGTCATGGATGTCAGAAGGGACGAACCGCGGAGAGACAGGAGAGCGGAAAAAGACCCATATGCGTAGCGGCAGAATGGGAATTACCAGCAGTTCAGGTGTCTTATAGAAACCAATGCCCTCAGGCAGCGGACGTGGGGCAACTTGGATGCTAGGCGGGTCTCAGGACATCCGAATGTCAATGCTGAGCGAAGGTGAATCAGTGACCCAGAAATATATAGCCCCAGAGAAAGAGACAACGGAAGGACAGCAAGCATAGGAAACTAGGAACAGGATAGAGTAGGAGCGCCCTCTGGCTGCAGAGGCCGTGATAGTACCCCCCCCCCCCTTCATGGGGTAGCTCCTGACTCCCATACAAATAAGTGAGCTGCACAGGACTGGGGGGAGGAAAAACCTCATTTAACTGAAAGGAAACCTCCGGGAGTCCACAGCTGAGAGCTGCCCCCTCCTCCAGGGTATAAACCTTTATTGGGTAGAGGAAGAGGGGGTCAGGTAGGTTTCCGGAGACTTATAAAAAAAAAGACAAGTACACAAGCACAAACAACGACAAAAATAAACCTGGGAGACCAGGTTAACAAACCACAATAAACAGATAGGAACCAAGAGTTCCACAACACAGGGGTCAGGGGGACCAGAGAGAGGGGGAAACCAGGAAGTGAAAAAATCAACCAAAGGAAAGCCAGGCCGCAGCCCGCTCACAGGCATGGGGTCAGAAGGAGGCTCAGTATTCTGTCATGGATGTTTGAAGGGACGAACCGTGGAGAGGCAGGAGAGCGGAAAAAGACCCTTATGCGTAGCGGCGGAACGGGGGATTAGCCGGGCTAAGCAGTTCAGGAGTCGAATAGAAACCAGTGCCCTCAGGTAGCGGACATGGGGCGACCTGGATGCTAGGCGGGTCTCAGGACAAATGCTGAGCGAAGGTGAATCAGTGACCCAGAAATATATAGCCCCAGAAGGACAGCAAAGCACAGGAAACTAGGGACAGGACAGAGTAGGAGCGCCCTCTGGCTGCAGAGGGCGTGACAGGCACATCTCCCTTAAAAATGGCCAGCTCTACCATGCTGTTTATGAGCAGAGGATATAAATAAGTCTTAACATTTCTCATCTCAGAACAAAATAAAATTTCTCTGGATTAACATGGAACACAAGCATGATACTATACATTGTATCCCTACAAAATCATTTTAAACATCCACTGTAAAACTGGTCTTTAAACATGTGCTTTGCACACAACATGTGGGACATATTGGATGAACCTCAACAACCAGACTACTGTACATCTATGAGAAAATCCAGCCACTACTTGAACACATTAATGCAATGGGAAATGACCTAAAGGGGCTGAGATAGTTCCAAGGGTTTGAAAACTGGTAAAACCCACAACCCAACCTAACAACCTCGCATAACATCACATCGTGAAACAAATCTGATCCTCTCCTGGGTCTGGAAGCAGACAACCAAGATCTGGAAGACCAGGATCAGGCCACCACTATCACAGGCCCTGAAAGTCAGGCACCAGCCTCAACTTCAAATACTGCCAGTGCTATCAAAAATGCAAAACTAAGAGGTGTTCACTTTACAAATTGCATGAGTTTAAAAGGCTGCTTGTGATACCAATTATGTATGTTAAGACATTATTTACATCTTAAAGACAGTGTAAGGAAGTGACAAAATCAAGCAGAATGTTACAATACACAGTTAAAACCATAACATTTCTATCAATGGAGGTTACGTTAGCTCAATATACAGTACAGTGGAGGAGCATTGTATTTCCTGTTGTAGCATTACAGCAGGCCCACAGTTGCCAGTCAAGCCCACAGAATATCTATTGGTCGGGTGTAATTTCTCAGAGGAATGGCAATTTCTGGATTACAGGGCCACAAGCAAGCAACTTCACTGTTTGAGCTATTTGTGAGCTGCTTTCCTTCTTCTGCTCACACCAAGGAAAAGTTATAATCATGCCCACCTAGGCAGCTTGTCAATGTCAGTTTGCACCAAATTAAGGAGGTTGACAAACCCAGTTATGTTACACAACCAAAACGATTCCTGCCTAAGATGGAAGCTTTTTTAAACTTTTTTTGCTGTCTTTCATGTTTGTAGGTCTTCTAAAGAACATTCCATTTATTTAAAAATGGTAAATGAAAACTCAGGGAATCTCACACTAATTTAATTTGATTTAAGCAAGGAATTTGCGTTTCCTGCTAACTTCTCGAGGGACTCAGAATACAAACCGTGAAATGAAGACAATTCTTTAGAACCCTGAGACCACTGTTCCTCCTTATTGTGGAAAAGCAAGATTGCATTATATTATTGTTGTGGTTTAATCCTTTAAAGCACATAGCAAACACAGTGTGTCATTATGTGGTGCTATAATTTTACAAAAATGTAAAATAACAAAAATACAATAAAAATAGTCTTTCATGATTTCATGAAACAGTGATTCATTTAGTGTTGTAGTGTTGGAATTTGTGTGAAAATTAAATCAAAATCTTTGCATAATTGTGAATATGCATATGTCTAATTGTATATATCTGCATATAAGTTATTGTTCACTTACTAGACAATACTGAAATGTGGTTATGACCATGAATCAAAGCTACAGAGGTGAAAAGCAGGTTGAAGGCATTTTAGATACTTATGAGTTGCTCTGTTTTCCCCAAATTTAACATCCATCATTTTTAGTTTTTACAAAATATTTATTATTATACATTTGGTACAAAGATTGAATTTGTAGAAACACTGGTTATTCTGTAAGTTTAAATCGGGATTTGAACTTTTTTGTTGTGTTTTAAACGGAAATAATGGTTAATTTATGATTTGTGGGAAAATATTTTTTACTCTTTTATTTGCAGGGACATAATTAAATAGAAGTGTTCTAAAGGAAAAGTATGTTTTTACTGCTTATTGTAATAAATCTAAAATACCATATACATTTAAATGCTCTGTCAACATCTATTCTTATAAATACAAGGGCCTAGGCTCATCAACGACCTGTTTGATGGTGGTGGTTTCCCTGAATAAATGTTTCTGTAACTGGTTAACCACCAATTGTGCTATGTTATTTAGGGTTTACACAGCTATCTTAAGAATTTCAGTGCATGCTTACAAATATTGCATACACTGTATACTGTATATACATTCAAAGACAAAGTATTTGTCTCCTACAATTCATTTGGAAATTAAAAAGTATGAGTTGTAACAAAGGTAAAAATCATATTCTTGTATTCCATTTAAATATTGCGTACCATAGTATAACAGTGAAACTGTGTATGGTTCAATTTCTTACTTTGCTAATAACTTCAGAAATATACTCTTTAGGCTATAATGACAGTTTGTTCTTAAAATCTTCCTGGCTTGGAATCTTTTGTTACTGTTTTTTATTGTCTATTGGATAATTGTTTAGCTGTTTTAATGATAACTTACTTGAAATGTTAGTGGAGGTAAAACATGAAACTCTGGCCGTGGGTGCTTTGTAGTTTTGAAGTATATTGTGTATATTGAACACAGTTGTAGCAGGCAGGTATTTTTCTGCATTTAACAAGAGATTTTGTAGAACCTGGAAAAACAGCAAAGCAAGGTGCAGCTACTGAAAGTAGAGAAATAAAGAAGTACACAACCATTTTTTTAAATTTTGTGGGGCTAAGATAAAGTTTTGAGTCTCCCACCACCTTTCGGGCTGTAAATAACAACAATATATAATAATAATAAATTATCGAAACAAAGCCATAGGAAAAGCTGGAGCTTTGAGCAAAAGGAAACATAAGTCTGCTTGGTGTTCACAGAATCAAGAGAATTGCGAATACTCTTCCTTCCACTTTTTCAGGTGCTCCCCTGGACACTGAAATGGAGAAATAAAAGAGATCATATGGGACCATACAGCTGGTCGGCTCAGTGGATCAGTAGATTTACTGATGGGCCTCAGCTGCTTACACATCTTTCACTTCTTCATGTTTCACCTTCCACACAACATTGTGATTTCTGCCTGCTGTGTGATTGAATTTTTCTTACAGTTTAATACAAAAACCTGAGTTTGTTAATGTTTCAGGTGGTAGAATACATGTATCTTTGATCTTATATAATCCCCATCTTAGAGACATGTGAGGTGATTAGTATATGTTATTGTTGTATTCAACAATAAATATATTGTGTTTTTTGTGTAAAATGAATTATCATAAGGTTGATTTTTTGTTAATTCATTCAAAATATTATATTTTTTTACAAACAGAATTATGTAAGAGGGATAAGTACACATTTCATTGAAAATGTCTAATCAACCTAGGTATCCATTCCCACTATCCTGGACCTCAGTGCACAACCTTGAGTTTATTTCATTGTTTTTTTGTACACATGTGAAATTTGTTTTTGATTTCCAGACTCTGAGGTTGTTAGTCATCTCACAGTCTGAAACAGTGAAAGCCTCTTCCAGTCACCAAATTCCAAAAATAAAAGAGAGAGAGAGAAGGAAAGAAAAGCTATAAAATATGTAATATGTGCCTGTGAACTCAATAAAAGTGCCTTTGAGGGAACTCATGAGTGTTGGAAGGTTAGTTTATACTTGGCAGGATCTTCTGGCATGGTTTTCGTAAGCCTCTGAGAGGTGAGTGAGTTAAAACAGTTTGCTACTGACTCCTCAGCAGGCCTGAGAGAAACCATCACGTATCCCATTGGTTTTCTGCATTGACATTGCTCGTTTCTCTGTAGCTTTGAAGACATGGTGGAATATTTCAGTCTGAAGCCAAAGTCCGGGGAGAAGGAGGTTCTGCCTAACTACATTTTCATGCTGTGGTATGAGTTCTGCAATGACTTTAAGAACGCTTGGAAACGAGAAAGCAAAAACATCTCTAAGGAGCGGTGAGTAGATCCAAATTCGCAAAACACTCAAGTCAAAACCATTTACAAAAACAGCTCTTATAAAACCGCAGATTTTAAGGACATTCTCTCTGTACGTCCTTCAACCCAATTATTTACCTTAAGCTCCAACATTATAGTGACATTGTAGGTCTTATGCTACATTTTGTGTCTGACAGAAATGGGTAGAAATGTTTTCTAGGGTGGGAAAAGAACTCTCAAAGTTAAGTCTAAGAATCGGAACCATTCACTCTGTTCGCCTGATAAACAGCACCTTATAAATACTAGTAACTCCAATTACTAACAAAAGAGAGCACCACCTAATATAGAACAGATTGCTTCTCTCTGTTCCTCTTGCATTTTCTGTGTTGAACAAGTCTAAATGAGGCAATATGAATTCTGCAGACAGTGAAGACAAATAAAAGTGGCTGCTTTTACCAGTTATTAAGGTGAACTGGCATCAAAGGGGGGACGAAGCACATCTTGGGCCACAGTTAGTACAATGTCAAAGCCCTACTCTGGATTTATGACACTTCATCTGACCTTTGCCATCCTGCTGTGCGCCTCAAACTGTGCGACACCACATCTCACGACGGCCTCCCGGCTTTATTAGCGTGGGGATGAAAGCCCATTAAATACAGGGTGTTCCAAAAACCTCTTAAAACAATGTCATGATCCAGGGAATCCATGGAACAAGGTTAATGTTGTTGGTTTACAGACACTTTTAACAATTAATCACTTTCCATCACTGTTGTGGTGCATACGGTTAAGGACGAAGAAGAAGCCTTTATTCAGTCTTTCTAATGAAACCTTTTTTAATGTTTTTCGAGTACAGTTTCCCTTTTAATACATGAAATGTTTCAAGCGTTCTACCTGAATATGTGCATTTACAGTACATGTATATCCAAAAGAAGATTTTTTTTTATTATTCTACTATATAATGATCTACTATATAATGACTTCATAGAAAATAATTGTGTGACTTTTTTATTTTAAAAAGTCAAATAGAAAAGTTAAAAAGCTTTGTAAATAAAATGTTATTTCAGTGAACAACTATATATTATTGTAATTTTTATCTGATGTGGCAGTATATGGTTTCAGATGACTAAAGCTCAAACTAGAAATAATTTAATTAGTAGTTTACATAACTAATGTACAAGTAAATGTGATCTTCTAAGCACCACTGAATAAGTTGTGAAATATAGTTTTTCGTGTTTTCCCTATGCCAGTCTGCTTTATCAATACATTTACTAATATGGTACGTCTATCCTCTGACGTCACGAAAATCAAGGTGGTAACTGTAAACTGCATATCCAAATGAGAACACTAGAGCTAATGTATTCAGAGAACTGCTTAAATGCCTTTATGGTAGAGAGTGGAATAATAAGGGTGCTAATGTAAATTATGGCTTTGATACAATTAGGGATTGGAACAATTTATTTTAATGAGGAACCAATGTTAATGTTTTGTGTTTGGGAAGGAAAAAAGAGAAACTTATAATTAGAATAGATGCTACACAAAATTTGCTTTATTAGCAATTATTTTATTGAGTTGTATAAATCAATTAGGGCTTTGAAATAGTGTAAAATATTATACAAGAGGAACCAGACACATTTAAAATCTTTATTGCTGATTCCTTAGACACTCTTGGGGAATGTAAAAACCCTAACTGGCCAAACATTGCTCAGGATGACTGATTTAACTCTTTAACCTCAGAATTGTGGTTTTTCCTGAAGATCTGAATTGTTTCAATCCATTTTGTTAGAACCAACATTGGCATGATTTACATATGATTAGAAATGGCCCTGTATTTTGTCCAGGCTGGCTTCTCGGTTTAGATACTGTAGGTGTTTTAGATTTTAATTCCAATCATAAGGAAGTTCTTAAAACAGGAATTGAACAAAACGGTGGTGAAGAGGCTAAGAAGAACTAAAGAAATAAAACATTTTTAGTAAAAATGGCTAAACCTATCTGACAATTTGCCAATCACAGGCTTGCAAATCTAGTTTAAAATACTCCAGCCAAAATTCACAGGCTAACGTTGATTGGAGTGCTCTTTGTGCTTTCTGTGTTTGCCTGGAAAATCTAGTGTCTGACACTTGAGACAATTAAGAAGGCAGTCAAACCAATAAAGATCATGTTTGTTTTCTTGATCTCTTTTTGCAGTAAGTAACTCAGGAATGCTTTGAAAACTTTGGATAAAGCATTAATAAACTGTACTTTGGAATTTTCTAATGTACGTTTTCCTAAGGCAGGGAGAATTAAACAGAATGCAAAAAATAACTGCTGCAAAAGCTTTTTAGTTGTTGACATGAATAAAATGCAACTAAGTCTATCCAGAACAGAATTATCCGAAAGCCTGACATGCAAGGATGAAAGTGCATTTTTAAACTATTACATTATTATTCAATTAATTCTGATGAACTACTGAGTGAACGTTGCTGCTAATTCGGATTTTTCCAAAATGATTTATATAATTTCCAAAATTGGTGCTTGTAAATACCGTTTTCGACTTTACACAGTGTGTTGTTCACTTTCTATAATTATTGAAAGTGAATAACCAAAAATACATTTGGAAAAGAATATGATATATTCTTACTGTTTTTAATCAGCCTTGTTAAGTGCTCCTTTTCTTACTTTTCGTGATCATGATTAGAGCTACAGTAGTTCAGGCCACAAACAGGACTGACAGATTTACCCGATTTTATTTGGTAATGGAATTGAAGATTGGTGGCTTTTTGTAGCTCCACTGTTTAATATTATTTTTCACTCATTAAAATTCATTTTGATGATGTTGATATTTTAAAAGCACACTTATTTGTAGGTCCAACTAGTTGGGTTTGCAGATTGAAGTAGGCTACTGTTTTCTTCATCAAAACCATTACTTATGAAAACAATGACAAATCTATTTTAGCAATTAAATGCTGAAATTGTAAACTGTCAGCTTTTGGAATAGAAATAGCTATTTTAATTATCACGCACAAATTATACATTTACTTTTTTAAAAGGGGATGACTTCTAAATATTTGAGTGCTTCTGTACATTGAAATATATTACATTTTGGTGTGGCAAATGATCTATTTATATCTTAATGTTCAGTGCTTAGTCTTCATGCTATTATTGCTGTATCAGAAATGTCTTAAATGAAAATAAGACATTTTAAATGTAAAAATATTCTTTTTCACTGTATCAAAACACTGGCCCTGTTTGTAAGTCACAATTTACCCATGACTGAAGGTGTGTTCACCTATTAAGTTTATTACAAAGGGAATAAAAAAGGGAATACAATTCTTTTTTAGAAACCTCCTTAAGTATCCTATAACCTAATGCCATTATTCAGAGTTGTTTTTCAAAAGCTTAATCAAAACAGACTGATCTTTAAGTTTATCTTCTTAAAGGCCGATTTCTGGTGCATCTGTGACAACGATGTCGCTCGTATCCTGTCAGAATGAAACCGGATGTCACACTGAGCAGGCAGCTCTCACTGCAGTGACACAATGCCAGAAGCACACAAGTGCACTTGGCCTTGCTAATGCAGCAGGCTGGGGGTGTTCTGGAGTTGGAAGCAATGAAAGGGAGACGTCCAGTTTCATTCCAGAAAGCGGAGGTGTTTATGAAGCCTTTTGCTAAATGTCTTAACATGGACAAAGGGGAAAAGAATCAGCAAGGGCCAAGACTGCAGCTTGTATGGGAAAGTATTCTCATCTTTGAAAGCTGAATTGCTTTCTGCTAGCATTCGTAGCCTCGAGTTGAAGGAGGTATTGCACAGTAGGTGGATGTTTCATTATAAAAAGACCACCCTATAGACACCTTTTATAAGTACAGCATCTTCTTTAGTGGCACACTGACCTTCATTGAATCTGCTGTAAAGTGTTCTCATTTAAGTTAGACTATATTTGGTGTATATGTACATTTTTTGGAAAAAAATACCTTCTAACTTTTTTTTCCAAATGGTGAAAGAAAAATAGGTGTCCCCTTTGAAAACATGATTTCAATGATTTTTTGATGCTTTTATAAATTATAATTAGATATACAGATAAGAGTATGTATTTGTTTAAGATGGGCTTTATGCCACTATCTCCAATTAAATTGTCTTTCAACTGGCTATTTAGCATTGCCCACGTTTAATGTTTAGTGCTAAGTGTTCATTGCTGTAACAGTATATTGTATTCCAACTGAAACATGTTTAGCCTATGCATCAAAACCAGCAGACAAGTTGATCAAAAACTGAAAATTTCAACAGAACATACAATATCAATCATTTGAGAATATTATATCACTATACTATTGGACTAAATGCCTGATTGTCCTATATATGGTGAGAAATGTGATCCTAAAGTAATTGATTATCAAATCCATTGTCAATCATTATCAACCCATTGGTGTTGTTTATTACGATGTTATTGTCCATCCATTCATTTTCTAACTGCTTAATCTAATTCAGGATCATGAGGGAGCCAGAGCCTATCCCAGCAAGCATCGGGCGCAAGGCAGGATACACCCTGGATGGGATGCCAGTCCATCGCAGGGCCACACAGACACACACACGCTAGAACCAGGGCCTATTTTCCCAAAGGCCAATTAACCTTCCATTGTGTGTTTGGACTCTGGGAGGAAACCAGAGCTTCCAGAGGAAGCCCAACACAAACACAAGGAAAACTTACAAATTAAATATAGATAGCGCCCCATGTCCAGATTTGAACTGTGGTCCCAGCACTATGAGACACATAGTTAACCACTGCGCCATGATGCTGCCCTGGGTTTTATTTGTATATTTCTAATCTTTAAGTACTCCAAAAAGAAGTAATATAGATATGCCTTTGTGTTTGTCATATTGAGTTGGTTAGTGATTGAGTCATCACTAATATAAGATGTATTCTTAGATAACTGTCAATATGCCCTATAAGGAATATTACCTGGAATTCTGAAAGTGGAAAAAACAACAGAGAATACAAATATTGACCTCAAACTCCATGTTGGTGGTTGTGTAATAAATTTAGTAATAAATTGTGTAGTATTACATGATGTTGTGTAATGTTGTGTAGTATTTAGTAATAAATACTAAGGGCTATGATGTAAAAGATAATTGCTTTCTTTAGCTGTTAGTTCAACTGAATTCCTAATGTCATTAATCCTGACCACAGCAAAAGATTTCCAACAGTTACAAGGAATGGTGATATATTTTGAGGGGTCTGCAAACATTATGTAGTTATTGTGCAATTGCATTTAAACAAGAACGGTTGTAAACCTGAGGTTCCATAAACTATGGGCTCTCACAGATATCTCTCCTATATTCCATGTTGCTGGGTTTTTCAAATTAGTCATTTAATTTGTGGTGGAAAGCAGTTAAATGTTGTGATCCATTTTAGTGTAGGCGTTGCAGTCAATGTCTGTACCAGTGTTCTGTGGACACTTTATTGTTTATTACTTCCCCTGACATAACCTCAGAACTATAAGTGGCTATTACAGAGGAAGCTGAAATTTTGTTCTCACTCAGCTTTATTCAGTATACAAACTAGGTTTTTCTCACAGTTTCATTTAACAGTTTGCCTTTCAAGGCTAGAAGTCTGGATAACTGCACCTGTGTTACTGCAAAGTGCCAACAAATTGCAAATAATGTAAAAACTGATTTAAACACGTTCTCAATGCCTTCCCTGATCTTGAAATTGATTAAATCAAAATAAACACGCCTGCAGATTTCAAATTCCAAACACGTCTCTTGATGGTGACTTTGTATTTACAGTACCAGAGGCCACCTGTATTTACTCAGAATGGAAAGCTGCCCACTTGTATCATTAGAGTTTAAAATTTGCAGTCAGTGAATGGCCAGAATTTCATCCTAGGCCCTAATGTAATGAAACAATTAATATAGCATATCACTTCACTCCGTGAAAATGATCCCACTCCCAAAACATATTAAAGTCTACATACAGTAGTAGTAACATATCCATAAAAACAAATATCAGTTTAACATACTTAACTACTATTATCCAATGGCGTTTTATTTTCATAGAACAATATTTCTCTTTTAAATTGTTTTCTTTAGTGTTTAAATTCCCAGGCCTTTGTAAAGTATTGTCTGTTTACCATTTTGAAAGATTGCTAACGTATCCTAGCCATGTCCAGCAAGCCTTGTTAGTTTTTTCATGATTAACACAAAACGGGTAGTTTGGGCGAGTAGTGACTTAGCCATAATTGTTTCTGTTCTACCCAGGGGTTCTTTGACTGCTAGGTCTCCACACTTTTTGCCTCATTTAACACTTAAGCAACAAATAAGATTAAGTAGCAGGACAAAATGGACAGGTTTTGTAAACCTGCACGCTTATTTAATCGTCCATTAATCATGGTAAGCTGCTCATTCTCATATTTAATGATTAGCTTCTCTTTGGTTTTTGGCTGACAGATCCTTGCCCTGTAGAACATTTCCTTGCAGGAAAAACGTTACCTTTTGGTGGCATATTTAATTCTTTAACCTTGTGCTTTAAAGGGGCAATGCCTCATCTGTTCTTAATAATTTTCTTTTTCCTGCTTAAGAGGGGTGTTTTTCAATATCAGCCTCCACTGGGTTTCATGTGAAGCAACACGTATAGCAGCAAATTGTGAAAAAAATATTAGCCCTTTGATTGTTTTAATATAGGCCATAAACAATATCATGCTAGATTAGGCACTGGGAAGGTCAAGGCAGAAATTGAATGCCTGTAAGCAATTGTATATTGCTAATCACCAATATTAGAAATGTTTACAAAGTGTGTATCGGGCTTGCCTTCCTTAGAAAGGCTGAATTAATGTCAATATGAAGGTTCTGTTTTAAGTATAAAACAGAATATTAAAGAAGGTCTGTGTGTTTTAAATATACCTTATATATATACTGCTGCAGCCATTTCATTAGCCAATATTGAAGGTTGTATAAAGTGTATCTGCATTGTGTAGACATATACTGTAGGCTATCAGATGAGTTCCTCTATACACATTGTATATGTGTATGGATCATTTTTGACAGACCTAATTGTATGTATCAAAATAAATACTGTCTTTGATAAAATGGTGAACAGTTGTTCTGCCAATGTAAGGAATTGATTATAGTCTTTAATACAGATCCATGTTCCTACATTAAGTAAGCTTAAAGTTTGTAACTCTAACTCAAAAAAGCAATGGATTAAAAAAGCATTGGATTTTATGCCTTAAAATATTTGAAGAAGAGATTAGGTTTAGAAGAACTAACACACTTAAACTGGTCAGGAGCAATTATTATACGAAGCAGTAAAAATGTACTTGAGCATTCTGACACCATCTATAACATATAACTTATTTGCCTTTCAAAATGATAAAGGAGACTTGGAAGAGTTTTTGGGGTATGATTTTAAAATTATAGTACCCAGTTAAGGCAGTGCATTAGGGACATCTGTTTCAGCATATTTCTGTCTATTCGGTTGCAGGCTCAAAGAAGCCCAGCAGTGCATCAATAAGATAACTGCAGAGAAGAAGGTGGAAACCAAGAAGATCAATCCCAACAGTCTGGTAGGGATGAACTCTCCTAAGACCTTTCCCAATTGAACAGCTAATGTTCTCAATATACTGCAGCTTCACAGTTTTATTATTGATGTTAAAATGTTTAATGTGCACATGTAACAGATTTACAGATAACAGATCCATGGGGTATTTTTAAATTATTAGATACTATTCCACTATTTCTGGGCTTTACTTCTCTGTATTTTAAAATGTTATGCTCACATCAAAATATTGTAGTTATGCCTTTAAAGTGAATAAAATGTGCATTTCTTTAAAACAAAATACCAAGCTACTAAATCACTATGGGTACTAAAACATGTTAATTGTATCCATCCTGATATTGATCTCTAGTAAAAAAATTCTGTTGAACTACGGTATATTTTATACAATGTGTCTGTTGAAAAGGTAATTGGTTCATTTGAACTGCTTCGCTGTTATGGATAATGCCTCATTCACACAGCTATTAACAGATTAGCTTCAGTGATATACGTATATTTTTACAAGCTCGTGTGTAAATTAAGTGGAAGATTTGATGCTTCTTAAGTCAGTTCAAAGCAGCAGTGTTTTTAGATGCCACCTTACATTGTAGACAAAACAGTTTCTTATATTTATTTTGGAACATATAATACAAAAGCAAATGTTGACTATTGCAAGAAAAGAGAATGCATTGTGGTTACAGTTATCGTAACGGAACTGAAAAACTATTTTAGAATTATTTTCAGGGTTATGGTAAATATTTGTGATAATATCCATGATGAAGCTTATGTGTGCTATACACGTATGTAAAACAAACCTGACAGAAAAGACTTTTGCTTTGGTTTTTGCAAATGTGAAGGTCAAGAACATACTAATTTTAGAATATATACCATTTAGGGTATAAATTTCTTTTCATCTCAGTTTTGAAATGCTTCTCTCTTTTTTAGGTTAACATAGTGGTAATCAAGGCCAGAAGGTTGTTTATGTGTTTGTCATAGGAACCATATGCCTAAGTTGTGTCAGTATTGAATAGTGGATGTATAGTATTTGCAAAGTGTGATCGGGTTTGTTTCTGGTTTGTGCTCCTTATGGATACACAGAGACAAAATTAAAAATCCACTAATGCCATATCAGGTTTCCAAAATCCTAACTCTAGACGCAGAGAAAGTGATAAAAATAAACCTAGGTCATTTAAAGTATGCTAACATTTAAAATTCACTGTATACAGACGATACTAGTGTTTACTATGATTTGGGTTTTAATTAATGTCCTTTCCCACTTACGTTTGATCACTTCTAACTGATTCCATATTTGCAGAGTGCTAAGTCAGGCTTACCTCCCATAGAAATTCATTAAAACTTAAATAAAGGCTACTCTGGAATGAGTTAATGGTCCTATTTTCCTTTGAAGAAAGAAACCTGAGATCTCCTGTATACTACAATAACAGCCACTGAATTTTTTTGGGGGGTGGGGGGGGGCTTCTTAAATTTAGTCTATGAATATAACATCATTTGTACAGCTTTCCTCAAAGGTGTTTTCCTTTTTTGCAATGTAAGGCTGGATACTTTACTGTTCAATTAAATTATTTAGAAGCAAAATTCAAGCACACATGATATAACCCGTTAGCTAGAATTATGGAGAAGAAGTGAATAAAAGTGTACCCATTCAAAATTAAAACACTTTCACTTAAGAAATTTAACTTCATTGCAGTCAGTTATAAATCAGTACACTCAGTATACTACAAAGAAAAAACTTATATATGATCTTCTACATTGTAACATTTAGAAAACCCAGAATTAATGTTTTGATATTTAGTTTCAAAACCTTTATTTCTGTGGACTTAATATTTACCTTTTATTTCAGGAAAAACAAGGAAATTTCAGAATTATAAATATTTAGATATTTTAGTCTTGTTGCACTGCATGGTATGTCATAAGCTTGTTATTTTTGTTCCAACCCTAATTTTGTAAAAGGTGCCATGCTGGGATTAGAGCATCCTTATGAAAGTATTTCCAATAAATACTAAAAACTACAAAATGGCAATAGATATTTAAAGGAAAATGTATAGGATAAAATACGATCCAATGAAATCTCTGTAAAGAAATGGGTAATTTAAAAAAGCATAATATAATCCTGCAAAGAATTTCCAGAACATCCAGAGATTTCATTTTAGACCTCGGCCTTGGATGTACCTTGTTTAGCTGTTTTGCAGCAGATCTTTCAGAGTTCCATTGAAGATGCAAGTGGATTTGTGATATGTGCAACTGTGATAGCGTTCCAAACCATAGAAATATCCTGAAACATCATTGGTACAGTACAGTATAACTCAGCTTACTGAGCAGGAGGATGACTCTTGGATGTTTCAGATTTTAACTGAAATGTTGCAATGGTAGTATGCAAATGCTAATAGATATGTTTTGGCAATCATGCCCAAATATTGGGTTGAAAAAAATATCACTTGGTGATGGCTTGGCTTTCTTATTATTTAAGGAATATAGGGGTGGATAACCCCAGAACAGTTTCACAGTTACCTCTTATACTAGTATCACTAAAACTTGTCATTTAATGGGGCGAAATTGTAATTGTTTCTTTATTTTGCCATAACAGAAAGAACGGTTACGTCAGAAGGAAGCAAGTGTATCCACCACCTGAAAGAAGCAGCGAGCAGGCTGAGGAGACTGAGAGACTGAAAGGACTGCCCCACTGTGCAGTGTCCGTCGCCTGATCTGTTCCTGCTGCTATCTCGACCTGTCTGTTTATTGGGTACCTGAGCTGACAGCACTGTGATCCCTTGGAGATGCCAGTTCCACCACCTGCCAGCTTACAGGACATCAGGAAAACTGTTGGAAAAGGACAGACTGGGGAAAGGATAACTTGCCAGAGCTATCCCTCATGTGGGCATATCAGATGGGGGTTGGGGTTTTCTGTAATATGTAACAAAGCCAAAATCTATAGCAAAGGCCTTTGGATAAAGAATCCAAGTGAGCAGTCAAACTCCAGCAGTCAAAAATCTCAGATATAAACAAGTTTAAGTCTGTGTAGAGTGATACACTGGAACTACTGGAAGAACTGGAACAAACACATCAGAGTAACCTGAATTGTGGGTTCATGTTGCTCTGCAGATTCAATCATGATCAACGTATATCTAAAGCTCTGAAAGCTTGTATAAAAATAACACTAGGGAAATGGACATATTTTATTGAAAAGCAAATCCATACTGATAAAACTTCTCTTAATAGGTTGTAGCTTCGGTGCACAGTTGTTGCATATTATTATTTTTTGGCCATGACAAATAGATGCCACATGATACAGATAAATACAGATTAAATACAGATAAATGAAGAGCCGTATCATTGATGTGTGCAGTACATTTAGGATAGGTTACTAAATTAAATTCCTTGAAGTTTGTAAAATTTTCAGTTGTAGCCTTCATCTTTAAAAAATCCCCAGTCCTATCTGTTTTGATTATTTCTTGGGGGTGAAAGTGCATGCTGAGAAAGTTTCTAATTTGAAAGGTATATTTTATAAAGACAGAAACTTGAAAATTTGGTAAATGGATAAGATAAGATCAGATCACTTTATTAGCCACACAATTTCTTGCATTAGGAATTTGTCTTTTCGCATACCCCAGCTTGTTCTTCATGAGACACACAGATAGGGAGAGAGAAGCTTAAATAAATACACAACATTTTAATCGATGATCTTTGTTAAAGACAGGGGGAAGCTCAATATTGGTATTTGTGCCTTTGAGAGTTGAAGAGAGGAACCTGATTGCAGTCAATTCTGAATGAGTTACAGTAACCCCTACTGGGCAGGTTTTGGGTGGTTACCAGGGTTGTGCTTTGCTTTCTATAGCACAATGGATGGATAAAACTCAATAATTACATTTTTCCAGGAGAAAACTGAAGTCTACTCTTCTGACTCTTTCAGTCTGGTGTCAGTTGTAGCCATATGCTGAGGTTTGAGATGGATTTTCAGAACTAAGGAACCAATTGAAGAAAATTATATTTGCAATAACACAGAAAAAGCCATCATGGTGTAAAAACATTTGTTCTATATTAATATACCTTATTATTCAATAGTTCCCTTCAAGTAACAGATATAATTATATTGCACGTTTGGCCAATGTTTAAAATTTCTATGCAATAGTTTTTCTGAAATCCAATACAGTATATCTCCCATATTTATACTAACAGTTACACATTACAGTGATTAATGTGCCATTATGCAGTTAAATTGACCATTTACATTTTTTTTCAAAAGCTAAAAAATATATTTGTTTAACAGAATATTTGTATTTTAACAATAAAGGATTTGAACTTTTAGCTTTATGTTTCGGAGACAAGGTCTACTAAAGAAATATAGTCCTATAGTAATAGGGATTCAGATATATTTGTATATATAAAAACATTTATTTTATGCCTAAATATCTATTGTTTGATCTTTGCAGATATATTTTTGTATATAATTTCAGCCCAAGTGTGAGAATGCTATTTAGACAGTTCATTCAGGTTTATCAGAGAGACGTTTTTTTTTTTTTCATTAGTGCAAAATAAATGTAAATTAAAAAAAAAATTCAATTTAAGGATTACAAGAGAGAGCCGCATACTTCACCCCCAGAAAAGTCCGTCTATACATGTTGTACTTGCATAGAAGAGTTTCAGTGTAATGTGTACATATCGGTTTATATAAACTCGTGTTATCTGTTGAAGAGTAAAATACCTAAAAGAACGTTCCTTTTATTTAGATTTGAAAGGTTTGGTCATTTTGAGAAATTATACATAAAGAAGCATGCCAGACTATCAGAAACAGTACTTGTTAAGTAAAACTTTTTTTAACACTAGAAATATTCAGAAATGTCATTCACAACATACAGTGAGTGTGAATTCAGTACAATTCTTTGGTCCATGCAGAAATGTGTACTACTTACACTGTTGAAAGGAACGTAAAAAATTTAAAGTCCTGAATAATTAATAATATGAAAATGTCTTTAATGGTCTACTGTTTGTAATATTCAATAGCTTGAAGGACTGTGATATTTTTTCAAAGCAGCTAGAGTAAGATTTTCTTATAGGGGGAAAATGAAAGATCTGTTTTGTCTATATGTATGTTAAAAACATCTTTGACAGAAATCGGTGAAGAATTTTGTCCTAATTTAATTTTCCTAATTAAAAATCAGTCTTCCATGTGAAAGCAAGTGCAGGAGCAGGCGGTGTCAGAGTAAGCTGTAAAGGAGATGGTGATCTAAAGACATTGCCTTGAACTTGGTATATTTCCTTTACTCATAGAGTTGATCAACTTCAAGAAAATATAAAAAAAAATAATGATTTTATCATGCTAATCATTATAAGTGGAATAAAAAAGCATAAGTGGAATTTGAAGGTATGACATATTTCATTTGAGAAATTAGAACACTTAATTGAATACAATTCCGAAGCGTAATGTACAGTACACCTTCTTTTTCCCAAGGTAATATTTATTTGTTAAGGGTTTATAAAAAGAGTCACAAAACTAGATCATGGAAATGAAGTCCCAGTTTAACATTAAATATTGCAGTCATTTGAAGATTTTTTTAATTTATGTGAGATAAGTGTTAAAGCTGAGATAAAACATGTGAAACTCTTTGAGCATCAGACCAATGTCTGAATGATCTGTAATTACAATGGATGAGCATTTTCCGTTGTTGTCATTCATTCCACTTCTCATGACCTGGACAAGATCTGGAGTTTTCTTTTGTCCATTTATATTTTTTTTTGTCTAGTTATTAAATTAATGATTTTTTGTGCTAATATATTAGTCAACAAAACTGTAGGGGAAGAATGTATCCTTATGACTCAAATAAAATGGAAAATTTAAAGAGAACCTTTTTTTTTTCTTTTTTTGCACTTTAAAATAAAACACGGTTCATCTTATTCATATAAGCTGATGAGAAAGGAAAGGGTTTAAGATGAAACATTAAAAATAACATAGACATGTCTATGGGTTTCCTTATTATTTTCAATTTTCAGTTTTTAAGTACTTGGAGAAAACAGCCAATTGATAGTGCGGACAGTTTTAATATGGTATCAGCCCTGTAAAAATGTCATTTTAGTTTAATGAAACAAATTTTAAAGAATATGTATTTTATTTATAACTGGCCACAAGCAACACAGCCCCTATATTTGCATTTTCATTGCACCATTTTGTTAACTCATGCATTGCACAAGAAATGATTTACATGTTTCTATTTTTAGTGTTGTATTCCAACTAAAGGGACATCTTAGAAGGTCCTGAAAATACACTCAGATGCAAAATACATATCTCAAGCAAACTGTTTGCTTGCATTTTTCCTTTAATGTATTAGAAAATGCCAAATGCAAGAGGGCATTTTATTCTAGATAAAAAAGAGAGATTTGCTCATTTGTTCAACAGAAGCAAACATAATTCCTTCTTTTGAGAGTTTTCAGTATCCCCAATTCTGCAATAACAATACTAAATCTGATGTGGAACCTCAAAGGAAACAGTAGACTGGGTTTATTCCTTATCTTATGGTTATTGACATCTTTTGTAAACAAGTCTTTGACCTGGGTCAATCAGTGTCCACCATGATCTCAACCAAAAGTGTGCAAAGGACAGAACATAGACAAACAAAGATGTTACACATGGATCATAGAAATGTCTTTCAATAAATCTGGAGAGTAAGAATGTAGTTTGGCAACATTATTTGGTGATGGCTAACACCAACATGTGTCACTACAACATGTGTCACTACTGTACCATATTATCCTACCACAACCACAAAATATTATAAGTCCACAACCAGAGTAATTTTGATGTGTTTAAAAAATCTCATAAAATCTTAAATATTATTTGCATGTTTTGCCATTTCTAAAGGAGATGCAGAATTCTTGAGGTATTTAATTATGGACCAATACAATCAATTAACTGAGCTCGACTTTGTCACAGTTGTATCCTGTCAGTTGATAATACTAATGAATGCTAGTGACTCTGGATACGTAACTTATTGATGCACTAACAACTTTACGTTTTAAATGTTCCTGCCAGCTACATATTCTATGTGTTCTTTCTTTTACTCGGGTTGTTGTTTGTAGTGTAAGTAAAATATGGAAATGTGTACTAATTGTGTAATATTTTTATTATGCCTCTCTCACAATCTTGTACTCAACCAGACAACCAGTCAACACTGAATCAATCCAAGGTTGAACATGAGTGCTGTATTTCATTATAATTTAAGTTCAATCTTTTAGTTAATTCTTCAATTCCTTGAAACCTAGTTCTTGAAAAAAACATATACAGTATTTTGAAGACAATAACCACAACAAGCACAATAATTCCAGGTTCCGAACATACTGGTTTGTTCTGTGTGGATTAGGTACTGCAGCAAGTAGGAAATTGCAATTCTAGAAAAACAAATGTGTTAACCAGCTTTTCTGCAACAGTCAAAGACAACATAGAACATAGTCTGGTGATATTTCTGAAATGCAAGAATTATGTTTTTACACTATTTTGATATGAGGATCACAAATTAAACCAGGATCAAATATCATCCCTAAATTCTTCAGTTTTGATTGAAATTTAAGCATGGTGCTATCCACAAATCACATCGGTTTTACATAAGTGATGGGAGGTGCAGTTAAGTGAAGTTAATTTTGACTCATCCAGGTTTTTATATCAGAGATGCAATTAGAGGGTGGAGAAATAGCTTATTCAGTGTCAGGTCTAGGATTGACATAGATTTGAGTATCATGAACATAGAAATTATCATTCAGACATCTGATTTTTATATGTGACCAAATGGGAACATGTAAATGCTGAAGAGCAATGGGTCCAAATTTGAGCCTTGGGGAATACCAGACTTAATGAACCCAACTTCAGAACTAAAACCCCCAAGAGAATCAAAGTGTCAATGATAAGTAAGATAAGAGTTGAACCATTTATGTGTGATATCAGAAAATGGGGGATAAAATGTCATGATTAATGTGTCATGTATCAAAAGCAGCACTTACATCTTAGGAAAATTAACATAAATAAAGACCCAGAGTCAATTACCACAAGTAGATCATTAGTAACTTTAACAAGAGCTATATACTGTAATTGTCTGAAACCAGATTATAAGGCTTTAAAAAGGTTATTTGCAGTCAGGTAATTGTTCAATTGTACAGCAGTAGCGCATTATAAAATGTTCACAAAAAAGTATTGTTATAGGACAAAAACTGCTAAAGTTATCCAGGGCCATGTTTAGTGTTTTGTTGGAATCTTAGTTTCCTAACAGAAATTCTGGGATAAACAGAGTTTTGGAGCAGAAGATGGTTGTTACAGCATGAGATTGCAAAGTTGCTATACCTGGAAAAGGAGCAAATTCAATCTTGGTTCTTAGAACAACAGCAAATTAAGCAAACTTGCCTTCCATTTTAACACATGCAGTACGACTAAGGGCTTGTGTGTTAAATGCTGAGTGCACAGGAACAACAAAGATGTAAAGGTTTTTCTTTGTTGATGAATTTTGGTGTAGAACTGGTTAGTCTGAGGCACAACTTTTTACGTGGATTCTAAAGCATTACATAATTTTTAATATTTAGTATTGTTTCCCAGTTGTATTCTGTGGGTCAACAGAAGTAATGAAATATTGAGGGGAAATAAAAGAAACGTTTGTTTTCTCATTTTTGCTAAAAATCAATCTGAAATATATCCTTTAATGTAACACACACCTTGGAATCAATTATTGTTTAATAAGTTAGACTTTACCACTGTGGCCCTGAGAGACCATGCCAGAGATCAGGATCAAGCTCCTCCTCTGCAGAATGTGTACTGTCAAATCCATCCACCTTTTTCCATACTCTAGGTCCCACGGCCCATTTAGCATAAATTGGAAGTGATGCAGTCTAGAGGCTTAGGTGCACTTGGCAGGTTTCATAGGGGCAATTGCAGAGCACAAACCTGTTCAAAGCTAGTGATAATCAACAAGTTGCGCACCATTGGTTTTGGGAATCCCAGTTAAAGTAAACTAGTAACAAAACTCAGTCTCAAACCAGTGATGTTTGGGAGCATGGGAGACAGCAAAGATGATTAGAAATATTGAAGTATACAGTAGACATGCCTGCATGTGTATAATGTCTCCTGAAATGTGTGGGGGGCATAAACATCACATAATTGCTCATAAACTCTGCAACAGGTGGAATATGGATCTTTTTAATATAGCAGCCCACAACATGATGCAACATATATTTTGAGATTATGATTTTAGTCAAACCAAACATTATATGAATAACAAGTATAACAAGCATAGCAAGCAGTGTTCTAAATGAAAGTTAAAAAGTTAATCTCTAAAATACATTTTAGAAACAGAAAACAGAAGTCCACAGACAGCCATTTAAAGAGTAATAAGAGTGATGCTGGACTTATCTGGGAGGGAAAAAGAAAGAATCATACTCACAGTACAGAACAAAACATGTATTCACACTTGAAGACTGCTGAAAAAGAGGATTTAAATTTAAACTTCAGCTTTAAAATACCACATTTAAATTTGAAAATAAACAAAGCGCAAACGTATGAAGGGCTTTAACAAGCTGAAAGTAATTAAGGTATACGTAAATATCAGTTTTTGCTGAATAATAAAAAATAAATTTATAAAACTAACCAAAATCTAACATTTATATTTCTAAAGTCAATTTTTAAAATGGCTATATCATTTATAAAAGACATCCAGTGTGATGATTGAATCCGAGTGAATTATCAGAGAATCCCTGAAATATATTTAATGATATGTTTACTCTTAACTTTCAACCTAAATGGTTTTAACTGTTTTTTTTTAACGTTATAATTCAGTAAATAATATTTAAACGTGTTAAATGTTGACCAACAGTGCCATAGAAAGGTCTGTTTCCTTAATAAAACACAATTACAGAAACAACATAAACCACAGCTAGTTTGTTTTGCCTCTAAATAAATTCACAGGTACGGATAGAAATCACACATACTGTATTGTCTTAATAAAGGACTTAAGGAAAACCAAAAAAAGTTAAGCTTGTGGGTGATTTGAACTTTACAAAGTTCTCCTACATCAATAACAGCATACTGTAGTATGAACTCTACAGAATGCCAAATTGAACAAAGGCCTGTGGCATCACCCCTGTGCCATTTTAGTATGACCAGCTGTTGGAGGATGGACTCACTTCATGGTAGGGACTTCCCTGGAGACGTTAGGTTTCACACAAGAAGATTCTGTTAAATTAAATTTAATATCAAGAATAAAATACTTCTAGTTGCCTTCTGACATGAAGCAGTGTTAGAGGTTGTTCTAATTATGGTTTTTGAACAAGCTTACATATCCTTGAGGTCATCTTAATCTTGCAATTTTACTTACAAAATTACTTCTTCCTAATCCATATAAACCCCCCCTTTATTATGTCACTTTGGGGAAAGAATAGTACAGATTGAGTTATTAATACTAGGTTTAAACCCATAGAAAACGCCTGTAATTAGATGAAATAAACGTAATGAGCAACACCCATTATAGGCCTAATTACAAATCAATACCTAGCCATGTTATTTTTATATTGCTATTCTGCTAGTCCCAAAAATGCTGCAAATGAGTGAAGCAAAATCATATATACATTCCTCAATATTTTAACACGTAAAGACACAGCAAATCATATTTACCTCCTGTATTGCCCAATTTAATTGAATAAAATACCATGAATATGAAGTACTGTAGTACTTTATCCTGTATACAGTATAGAGGATCTTGACAGACCTACATGTTTTAGCGCACTATAGCTGGATCCAACCAATGAATAAAAATCCATAATTAAAGTTAGGAGATGTTTAAAAATATTCTATTTCTAATGATAGAAATCCCCCCGCCGATTTTAACGCGCATTCCGGCCTTTTCTGGATCTTTATTTGCAGTTTTTGAATAGTGTTTTAAATAAAACTTTCACAACACTTAGAATCAACACTTAATTAGAAACCTCCTCAAGCCTAAGTTTAGGTACTGAAACAAACAGAACAATGGCCATTATTTTGCGAATATTGATTGGTTATTTGAAATATATGAGATACCTAAAATATTGTATATAACTACCTAAAGCCGCAGAAATATTTGCATGTACTAGTACGCATGGGTAAACTCCACAAGCTGTTTGAAATACTTATTGCAATGCTTGCTGTGCTTGACATTACATTGCTTTTCTAGTGGTCTTTCCCCCATAAATTACAAAGTTTCTTTTACGACGAAATGTACCCAAGGGTCTGAAGACGTATAAAAGTCCCAGCGAGAGGCTGGCTCCGAGACAAGAAAGTAGAACCCATCTCTAAGAGAAAATGGTTTTATTTGGTGCTTTGGGTTAACGTGATGCATAAAATGCTCGGCACGAAATCGGAGTCTTCGCAATTTCAAAATAATTTACGATTCATTTCACACTCGTTGAATCTGCACCGCACACTGAAATGTCTAGGTTAGCAATAATTGAAGGCGCAGGCTAAGCCATGACCATTGTCTGCAATGATAAAAGTGGAAGATTCAACAAAGTTCAATTTTAAAAATGTTTTAATTTGTTTCTCGGTAAGCAAGTCCTGCATATTGCACAACAATTGTATAAAATGTACTTTTTCATGCAGGAGAACGTGTTAATTTATTACTATATAGGCTAGTTCTTTAACAGTTGTCTGAAGAAATTCACATACAGTTGCTGAAGAAAATCAACGAAAAGTATATTTATATTTTAAACTTTCATTTGAAGAATATTAGAGTTCCCTTTCAATGTCATCAATAGCTTGACACTGGTGTTTATTACCAGTCTATATCCATCTACCCATTTGAAATCATTGACACAAAACAGTGTAGGCCAAAAGATTCACAGAAAAGCTTGTAACATTCATATTAATCGTACAAACGACTCATATAATTACATTAAATATTCGTATCACTCTGTTGTCTATTCACATTCCACACAGTGGAAACTATCTATTACACAGTCAATATTTAAAATCAATAAAAATAAAATAAATGCAGGTGGGATAATGAAAACAAATGGCGTATACCCCGCCGAAGTGGTCTGAAAGACTTTTGTTTGGAAGATATTTTATGTGAATAGGTCGCCAAGCCTTTCCACCATTCACTCGTCACAGTGTATTTTGTATAATCAAGCATGTTACTGTTATTAAACCTGTGTCGCAAGTTACAGCGGTGAGTGTGGTTATATGGTTATTACACTATAAATATGAAAAGGCATGAATTTCTTTTCCTGGAAAGCTCTGAAATTAGTGAAACAAAAGTGTTCCTATCTGGTGAAATACGAGTTGTTTTCTGTCTGATCGTAAATTGGAAGAAAACCTTTTTCATTCTATTGTCCCCCGAAGGACCAGGTCATCTGATGCTGAGGGAATACTTTCTTTTAGTAGTTTAACAGTCATATTGTGATGCAACGCGAATGAGCGCTTCCCTGTTTGGTTAGAAACAAAGTTTACATCTTGACACTAATCGACAAAGAGCATGAAACACTGATCTAGTCAAGATCTATAGAAACGCATCGGCACTCTTTGACGCGTTGCACCCTTTTCTTCTTGGTGCTGGGCTGCTGCTCCGGACAGTTCAGAGTGAAAGTCATCTTGGTGAATCTGAACGGCTTGCAGAAAGAGCACGACTGAAAGGCACCTTCTTCCTTGCGCACATGTCTGGGGATGTAAAAGGAATTGCACTGACCATAGCAGAATCGATTGATTATGGTGCGGCTGATGCATCCATCTTCATGGATAGTTTGCTTAAGAGGCTGGGTCTTACACCAGTCACGTTTCAGGTATTGGCGCTCCGTGACATGCAGGGCTTCCTGGCTAGACTCCAGCACCTCCTCAACAGGCGTAGAGGAGCCTTTGCTCTGTCCCCGGTTCCCCGAGTCTGGTTGCGGTGGCTGAGACTGCGGCTGCTTCTCCGAGTTGTTTTGTTGGGTTTTGCCGGGAGGGGGGATGGCTCCTTGAGAAGCTGTGCTTTTCTTCTTTGCCTCAGCGGAGCTGCACAGCAAACCAAGGACGAGCACCGTGCTGAAGACCACTTGAAGAGATCTGGTCATTCTGGAAAAAAAACCCCACGCATGACCGTGTACAGTTACTTTTTAGAGTGGTTAATGCTGCTTCTTAGATTTCCATTACATAACATCTACCAAATGTTTAAGCTTAAAAGATTACTGTATTAATCTTTTTAATGGTTTTATAAACGTGATGATCAAAACTCACATACTGTACTGTATTAAAGTGAAAGCTGAAGAAGACGGATTTCTTAGGCGTTAGAAGTTTTTTAAATTGAAAATAAGAATCTTGATCTATGATCTATGATCAGAAACAATGTTAATTCCTGGTGAGGAAAGCGGCATTTTAGAACAAGGAAAATGCAGTAATATAACACTCTTGTTGAAAAACAAGGCAAAAAAATTGTTTTGTGCCAACCTGGAGCACAGTTTATTAGAGTTTCGAATTAATTTATTTTGCCCGTTGTATAGCGAAAGAAATTATTCTGCTTTGTAAAATGTGATTCTCTTTCTGAACCACTCTGGAGTTCAACGTCACTGCCAGGATGTCTAGTGTAAAACAATATTATAGAGGTGCCAAGATCAGTAGAAGGTTTATAAGGGTACTAGAGCAGATAACTCAATGGGATGCAGAAGGAACTGGAGAGTAAGCAAGTCCTACTTTTGCTGACTGTTGCCATACCAGGCTTACAAATGTATCAAGAATTCCATTATGACAGTAACCTCAGTTAAATTATGGTTCTGGGCGCAGAAATATTTTTTCCTTATAAATAACCCATTGGAATGACTAGATTTGCGAGACAGACTTTGCTTGGAGTAAAATGTTTTCGAAAAAGGAATTGCACATTTAGAAGTGAAAAGGAGACAATTTTATTGGGAAGAGAATTGCATATTACTAGTCACTTAAAATGCATTTCTGCTAAAAAATGTTTGCTCTAGATCACCATTTGCTCTGCATATTCTTACAAAAACTACGAAATGGCTCGTATGTAGCTAAAAACGGGGTAAAAGGCAAAATATTTTTTTTACTTTTTATCATAATAATGAAAAATCTCAGTTTATTTGCACAGACAATTTGGGGCTTGAGTACACAAAGAGCAACATATTTTTATTTTAACGTCTTAAACCATACAATGTTATACTGGACATTTCGCAATCAGCTTTTCATGAATCAGTAGATGAATTATGAATCGGATGCAAAGCAACGCATTAACTGTCACTAATGTGGTTTTAGGATCACAAACATTTTCTGTAAATAAGAAATGAAAATCCACCGCAATTGATGTATAAAAAACGTGCAAAGTATTACGGCTTTTAGAATTATGCAACATAAGAAAAACTGCTTTTACTTGCAATGACCCTTGTAATGTACAGAATGGTACATTTATATAAACTCAGTTTTAGTGTTTGCACTTGCTTCATGTGCTATACGTATATCCAAAAATGAATAAGCAGAGGGGAGATAGCAGATCGCAGACTGATTATTTTAGCTTCTTGTAGATAATATATAAACAGAACCACAACATACATTCAGACTCTTGGCTAATAAATATCGATGGCAAGACACCTGCTCATTGTTTTATTCTAATACCAGTCTCATTAAACGCATATTTTAATTTCAGTTAAGGTTTCTTAAGAATTAAACAACAACGATTTCTAATATACCCCCCAAGCGAAGCATATAAAGCACTCACCTGCCCATTCTTTGACAACATAAGCCGTACTCAGTCTTGAAAAGTGGTTTTAACGTGCCCAAGTCAAGGAGCAGTTAGTTGTATCGAGTGTATGGCAGTCGACGTGCGCAGTGATGGAAGTCGAAAGTTGCTAACGATTCCATAGAAAGGGAGACTGTTTTTTGGTACAAATTGCAGCAGCGCCTGGCTGTCTCCCTTTTAAATGTCTGCCAGCTGAGATGTGCAAAACAGTTCCTTCTACATTATTGGCTAGGCACGATCCAAAGAAAAATCAAACTATCCGCCCCCTCAACACTTCCTTGAACCCAAGGGAGGGAAACATACTGCCGAAAAGGCATTTAGGATTTTTTTTTCTGCTGGCATCTCTTTCCTGCTCATGTCAGACAGTGCCAGTGCCACTACAGAATTATACAGAGTACACCTCGGGGGTATACTTAAATACAATAATCATCGACATCTTGAGCATATTATAAATCAGAAAGTTATCAACTGTAGAAAATGAAACAATAGGTCATTCAAAATCACATCAAACTAAAATAGAAATCAATTGTCAGTACCTTGTATTCTGCTTAATTTATTGGACAGTATTCGAGTTGTCAGCAAGGGAACATTTACTAAACAAGGTGTAAAGTACACATTATATTAAACTGTTTCATATAAACAGCGTCGGCTAAAGAAAGAAAACAGCCTTTCCAAAGTCCCGCTTGCATTTTCACGAAGCTACTTAGACAAAAACACGCAAGATTCATAGACAGTTGAAGAGTCGGGTTTTTTTGCAGACGCACTTTTTATATCAGAATGCTCTTTCATATCACTCTCTCATATTAACTTAGAAAATAACGCAAAAATAAACGCAAAAAAGCGAACATCCTTCCAACAGCCTAGTCGATAAAGTGGAGAAGCAGCGCACATATACAATTATAAACTGTTTTACTTTTTTTGTAAAATACTTAGACAAGATCTAGTTTTAAATAAGGACTTTGCACCACTGGGTCCAAATTAAGGAAAGCAAATCTATTTGTTCTTCATCTGACAACGCCGTACAGCAGGTCACTTAAGTTTCACAACAAATCTTTTCAATTCACCATGGATTAAACAAACATTAGTCTTATCTTTATTTTTTTTCCAGTTATTGAAGAAAATGTTTATTTGAATCACAACGTCTTATAATTTTACAAGATTCATTCAACTACATTTTAGAGTTTTGGCCTATTAGACTGGCTTGTTCATATTCGAATATAATTAAAACGAAACGTTATTTACTGGTGTGTGTATATTAGAAACATTTTTACATAATACACTTCTTTGAGAAAGGCAATGATATATGCAATGAGATCTTCATCCGACGCAAATTTGGATGTGTCAATCAAATACATTTACATATTACTAGTCTGATGGCTTAAAAGTACACATAAAACAAGTCGTTAATCCTGTATGTATTTGAACTTTCTAGTGAAAAATATTCTCACCATTAATTGAAGTAGTCACGAAAATCCTTCTCAAGAAAAGATGCCAAAACCATTTCCATTTCTTGGAAACCGCAAGGGCACGTTCGATGCCAATTTCTTTCTTTATTCCAACTGGTCTGTTTTATTTAAACTGCTTTCCTGTCAAACCCCTCGTAATATTTAACAAGTTTCTTTGAAAAAAAATTGTAGATGTTTGAATACTGTAGGCTATGTCAGGACTTCATTTTCTAAAGCAGAGCACTGAAATAAGTATTGTTGATGCTTGCTTCTTGTATGCTGCTCAATGTAATGTAATCGGCGACTTCGTGACACGAATTTCAGTTGCGGGGCAAATGTGTTTTATTCATTGAATATAATATTAAATTATATATAAATATCCTTTTGTTATTATATTTAGCTATTAATTAATAATTCAACATCAGTTCAGGTGTTGCCTGGTAGATAATATAGGAATTAGATATTCTTGCTTGCTGGACAGTCACAGGCTTACATTAAAATTGTATCTCATTTTAGAAGGTTTTGTTTTCCCCAGAATGTATACAGTTTACAAACATACAACAAAATGAATTAATATTTTTTATTGATTTCAATCCTGAAATATAATTAACGAACATCAATTTCTGGCAATATACAGTGAACAGATTGTTTTACATTGATGATTTTAAACACCTGCCGTATTTGCTACAGAACTAAAAACATCAAGACACTCTTTTGCAACTGTTTTTTTTTTCTGTGCCATTACGAAAGTTAAGAAACGAATGTCTAAAGCACACATTTTTCCTGCAATATGAATACATTTTCTTTTCAAAGTGTCAGGCATTTATTTCTGCTGTTCTTGCCTCACTCAACATTTTTAATATCCCCATGTGCTCCACATATGTCTCTCAGTCACTGCCCTTTCTCTAAGAACTGGTTGCCCTGCACAGCACTATTGCTAAGCATACTGAACCACCTGGTAATGTAGAGTGCTAAGAAGCATTGCTGTTTAAAAATCATACATGTGCTGTGATCACAACATGACACCCCTTGCCTCAAAGCAATTGTAAAGCATTAGTTACTTCTTCTAAGAATTAACATAAAACTATCATAAATATCCTCATGGCAAACATGCACGTAAACCAAATGTTTTATTTACCATTTTAGTTATTATAGCTTACAATGATTACATAAACCTATTTGTCATCAGATCATATATTTTGAAGATCAATTTCAAACAAGAGATCAGTGAGTATCACCGGAGAAATACAAAAGCAAAATACTGGCATTTCATATTTGCAAAACACAGCAAGTGGCACACTGCTTTTATAATGATGGTTTTATCATAAGAAGATAATTCTAGTATTGAAACAGTAACAGGGTAGCATGTTTTATGCAGCAGAGGTGTGGTTCACTTGGTTATTACTGGTATCTTCTTCTGAGAAATGAGGGACAGATTTCTTGGCCACCACATTATCCAGTCTTTGCCCCATCAAATAAGGATTGACACTCTAAAATATTAAAGAAAAAAGGTGTGTAAGGAGTAAACGCCAAAAGTAACATCAAAATTTACAATGAAAAAAGCAAACTATAAACCAGGACAACGACACTGACATCAAAAATAATCAGAGTAAATAAAAGAGACATGTCTACAATACAAGGTATAGGTCCAGTTCTCAAATAGGTAAAAAATGAAATATGACAGAAAATGGAGTTTGCAAAACCAAATCATAACTTTTAACATACTTAAAAAGGTGTAATACTGACAACAGATTCAATCCTTACTTTCTTAAACTGAATCCATCAGTAAAATAAAGTCAGGTTATATCAAAGACAGTGGGACTAAGAGCAAATTATCAGTGTCTGGTCTCTCAAGATTTGGCCCACACATATGGCCTCACCTGTCAGTAAAGGAGTAAATGATGAGCTTATACTATAGATGCCTTTGTCAGTTTGTGAAATCCATTTTCCTTACACTCAGAATATGTGCTCTCATCTAGTGAATCAGAGCTACCACAGTAATTTTCAAATCACTGCTGGGACATCTGACAGATAAGGTTTATTTTATATTCAGTATGAATCTACTTATTCATATCCGACTGCTGTAATAGGAGTACAAATAACTAGAAGAAAGAGAGAGGTCTAAATGTTTATATACTGTTTATAACGTATGCTTGTATGGCAGTATTCAATAACACAAGGATGCAACAATGTTCTGCTGGACCAATAACATAGTAGGAAAGAATGTTTTTTTCTAATGCATTGTCTAATAGCAAGTCAGTCTGTCAGGATGAATGAGACTCATCAGTGGTGTTTTAATAGACGTTATTTAGAAATGAAATATTTTACATTGCTCAACACAATACAAGCTGTCAGTGAAACACCTGTTCAGAAGTGTGGTTATCATTTAAAAGTGCAAAAGAAAGCATCCTGGTGATTTATTACAGTGACCTGTGTTCTCAATGAAACAGGTACACATTTATTCAGAGTGTTAGAGAAACCATAATGAAACAACATACCCTCTTATTTCTTTTTGGACCACTCTTCATTTTTTCATAAAGCAGTTGCTTATTCTGTCGAAGATAAAAGAAAAACAAACTTGATATTAACTACATTTTTTAAATCTAATTTTCTTTTGATGACTGTTTTAACCTGGTTCCATTATGAAGAAAACAAAAAACCCACAAAAAGCAGCAATCATTAGTTACCAAAAATGAAAGTTTATACTTATTTATTATTGAAAATAAATTGCCTAGTTTAAGGTTTATTGTCATTAGCTATCATATAAAAGCTAAATTCTTAAGAGCACAGCATTTGATCTAAGCTTTATTGCAGTAAACCTTTTAAAAATTGCCAGACAAGGTCTTGGCAGGCAGGAAAGTTATGTTGAGGAAAATGAACCCATTACCACAGTTGGTATAACTGATTCCACATAGTGTTTAAAATACGAACTTGTCTGGAAAAGACACATGCATATGCATAGCACATTAAAATGAGTATGAGTAAGCAAATGGTGGGGTGACTAGAAAAGGAGTATAAAAAATGAAGCTAGCAGTTCCTTGTTTACTTAAGAGAAAATGAAATCCATTGTCAGCTGTCAATATGCAGCTTCAGACAGTCTATAGGTTTTTACCATAATATTCACGAATAAGTGACAATACCTAAAAATGGTATTTGTAAAAAATGTTACGTTGTCAATGAGAAAATATGCTGGCATAATGTATTATTTCTTCTACAGTGCATAACTGTGATAAATCGCAATTGTACCCATTAATTAAAAGTTAATTAATCAAAAGTCAAACCAATTTAAACACCATGTATAGATGTTCAGTTTCGCAAGATATTTGTACACACTTTTGCATATAATTGAGCTAATTAATTTTCTTTGCACATACTATATGTACACACAAAATCATTGTTAATTTAAAATAACAATTCCACATACTAAATTCCCTATTATTTGCAATGCTATAGAAAAAAAGACCAAAACTATATACAGTACATACTGTATAAATCCACAGTGAGAGATGAAATACCTTCTGAAGTGCATTTTTTTGGTCCACCCATTCAGAGACTCCAGAAGTGTTCACACATCTTAATAACCCAACACTAACTAGATCCCTTAACACTTCATCAGACTTCAGCCGTGATCACTGAGCCAAACCTAATTCCAACACCAACCTAGACCTTGTAACACTGGGCTATACTATAGTTTGGAATTATTTGACTTCATATGTAAATAAACAAGCTAAATATAAATATCCAAACATAAAATCACACTATTCCTTGCAAATTCTGACAATAAAGAAGTGGTTCACAGACAAAGCTAGGAAGCAAATACAAGACCACAAACACTCCACCAGAGCTAATAATATCTCTAGCCATTTTTATGACTTGCAGCACATGCTGCATTAAGTTACTGACTCCCGCAAGCTATTAAAGAAAGACGGGGGCCAATTGTCAGAGGTACCAGCTGCCTGCAAGGCTGAGACAGGATCAGAACAGTCATTGAAATGGTGTTTCTAAAGATTTCTAAAATTCTAAAATTTCTAGATTTCTAAAATGTGATAACATTTAAGGTATTTAAGTTATTTCAGTCTGCTTGTAAATGGTGAGGCACAATAGTAGGAAGTACTGCATGAGATTCTATTCCTTAACTCACTGCTAAGTTAAAACCACTAGAATGATCAAATAGCAGTGGAAAGAAATGTTACAAAATCAACATTTAAGCCTTAGTTTGCATGTATATTATTACATCCAGTGCCACTTTTGAAAGCTATTGTTCTTGATTGCAATACTGAAAGCTTTATAAATATACAAATTGTCTTTCTGAAGAACCTCGGTCAAGCTCATCACTGCTGAAAGATGTCAGTGAAATGCCCAGTATCAATTTGTTGTGGTTTGTCTTGCCTCAGCTAGTGTCATTCCAAACATTCCAGAGTGACACTGTAGCGACTATTTCCATATTTAAATGTTTTGTTTAACAACCACTTAGACGTTTATCTTTTGACCCTTCAGTGAAAGAATCTCCCTTAAGTTTTTAAAACTTTGACAAGCTCCAAACAAGCCAGCACTAGGATCTCCACTCACCCACTTGCCCAAAGCTGGGTAGTCATGTTCTGGGTCAAACAGGTGCTGATGCTGCTGAAACTCCCTGCTGAACTCCGCCGTGTCAGGTGAGTTCTCAAGGCACCCATCCGCAGCTGTTTTACCAACAAAACCAAAACACAACAATCAAACATTATTATTACAATAATAATAATAATCTTTATTTTACTTAAAAACCTTTACTAGTAGCTTCTCGAAGCCCTTTACAGGAAAAGCAAAACAAAATAACAAAATTAGCACAATAAACACAATACAGACACCTGTTAAATAAAAGCCTTCCTGAAGAAGAAAGTTTTCAATCTGGATTTGAACTTGCTCAGGGTAGGTGACTGTCTCATATCTTTGAGGAGAATTCCAGAGCTTTGGGGAATAACAAGAGAAGGCCCTGCCACCCATAGAATGTAAACGAGATTGGGGGACACCCAAAATTAGATGAACAAAGGTAGTGAATTTGGGAGTACAAAGCTATAAAGTCAGACAGGTACTGAGGTGCCAAGCTACATAAAGCCTTATGAGCATGAGGATTTTGAGGTTGATATGGAACCTTATAGGTAACCAGTGCAAGGACTCCAGGAGAGGAGAAATGTGATCATTTGTATGGAATTTGGTCAGGATCCTGGGTGCCAAATTGTGGGTATAGTGAAGTTGAGGATTTAGCTACTCCAGCAAGTCTGGCCTTGTAGTAATCAAACCTAAAAATGACGAATGTGTTGACCAGGTTTTCTGCTACAGTCAGAGACAACATAGCACATAGTCTAGTGATATTTCTGAGGTGGAAGAATTATGTTTTAACAACATTCAGACAGTGCTCCCCAAATTCGGTCCTGCCCTCTTCCTCATAACAGTTTTAATGAAACAAATTATTCTCTGAAGCATATGAAAGGTCAAGAATATTGTTCAATATAAACTGAAGATTAAATTGGTTTAGATGACCAATTCAGGCTCCAAGCCTGTTATCTGCATGGTCCAAGAACCAAACCTTATTTTGTATGTTATTACTACTATGCACTGAAAAAATACTTTTCTTTTTGCATTCACAAATTTGGAATTCAACAAATTTTCCTCATTTTTGCTTTACCACTGATATAGCTTATAATATATAAGCATGTTTGTGAGGGTACCTTTTCAACATACATTTTTCAAGCCTTCTGTCTTTTCTCAAGATGGAAATTTAACAGAGCCAACAGGAGAGTTGACATCAATTGGAAGAGGAGCGTATCTCTTGCTGATATCACTGTACACTCCAACGTTCTTGACAAGTCCTATGAGATGCTGTTTTGTCACAAACTAAAGATACTAGCTGAGATAAACTGAAGCCAAAACACACTCCCCTAAAGATTGGCACCTTCTCTATTGGAATTATCTTACTAGAATAAGCTAAATAGACTGACCCAAACTGGTAATGTCCATCTGCACTTCAAACAAGTATACTTATTGCTTGAGCCACTTCCCTCTTCAGGAAAGCCTCAATTCTGCCAATGAATTTTGAATCTGAACTTTATCACGTGAGATGAAGTTATATAAAAATATATTATCTGCTGAATACCCACAATATATCTTACATATTCTCAAAATATTACAGCTTCTAGATCTTGAAAGGTAAAGGAAATATATAAGGGAACAGCTCCAACTCTCTTGTAGAGGCCCTGTGCTTAACAGTCATTAAAGACTTCACTGAAATCTCAGCATTTTTATTTCACTTTGTGTGTTTTAAGCCAATGACTTCAAGATCTCCCCAGAGGCTTGGCTGGAATTGTATCTCTGAGATACCAACAGACGTTGCCAAAAGGCAGACTTGGATTTGTACCAGCCACCTTTCTTGCCCAAAAAGTGACTGTTATTGATTTACATGAAAAAGTAATGCAATACCAAACCAGTTAAAATTCTTGCCGATTTCTTTATCTTGACAAAGGGAGGATAACTGACTACTTAATTCCGAATAACTTGAATTAGAAAATGCTTTCCCAACTTAACACATTTACCATTGGCATCATGGCACTGGAGTTTTTAAAAAAGTAGTTCCATGAAACAAGCTGAAGCCTTCCAATATTGTATTTGCTGTCTTAAAAACATGTCAATGTAATTTTGCTACTGTTCTTATTATGGAGCCAAATATTTCTGGTTATTTAAATATGGTATTTAATACACTAGAATTAGAATCTAGACATTTTTTGGATAGACATGCACAAATAGGGTTAGACATTTCCTCTGCTATTCAAATGTCTCTACCAAATATTAAAGTATTATATTTTGGTCGCTGAATGTACAGCACATTCACTATAAATATACTGTACACATCCATCCATTGTCAAAAAACCACTTATTCCTGGTAAAGGCTGCAGCACTCTGGAGCTTCTCCAGGAAGGATAGGGTGAAAGATGTGTTTATCATCTAGATGGGACACGAGTCTATCAGAGGGTACACACACGGGGACAATTTAGAGACATCAATAGGGATTTATAGACAATAGACAATTTAGAGGCATCAATTAACATACTCAGCATGTTTTTGGGAGGTGGGAGAAAACCCACATGGACACCAGGAGAACATGCAAAATCAACATACACAGACCATATACAAACCAGGCCAGAATCCAACCCAGCACTCAAGAGCTGTGAGGCAAAAGCACTAACCTTCATCCCCCAGTGCCACCCTAGAGACACATATATAAGCTAAACAAGCCTATAATGGAATTAAGTATATTTATATTGCACTAAGTATTTGCAAGTGATATTCAAAAAACTAGAGTAAATGTTGAATAATAAAGTTTTAAACCAATATTTCTTTATATTAGCATAAGTGAAGCTAAAAAAAATACGGTCTGAAAACACATTATGGTAAGCACCCTTCAGACCCCATTTGTAAATGTCAATAATGTTTGCAAATCAAAGGAGTGAAATTCGGCAGCGTTAAAAAAATGCAAACAATAAATGCCGCAGCAGGCACAACTAACAAAGAGCTCTTTGTGTGAAGGCACAGGGAAGATAAACAAAAGGCAAAATCCTCGAGTGTATTTTTCAATACAAATTTTCTTAGCAGCCTCAAATCTAAGAACCGTTTAATGACTTGGTGATTCATTGGCTGGTACAGAGGGAGTTGAACTTTAGCTGTCAAGCTGCACATTACTCTGTTTGATAGATACTGTAGCATTTTCATTTGTGTTTCTTGAAATCATTTTGAAGATAAAAATAAGTGCTGTAACGAAATCTGAACCTTAACCAAACACTGTGCTCACCAACATGTAGGACTGAGATTTCACTGCAATGGTCATTTAAGGGATTAAACTAAATATGTCTCAGTAAAGAATGCAAATTTTAACATGATGAATAAATATTGTCGCTTGTATTCAGGGTCTGTGGCTTTTTCTATGCAGATTTTAAAAATGACTTATTCTCAAAATACTTAGGATAATTAACAGCTTGCAGTTACTTTCTGGTCATACAGAATGGCACCTCTTAGCCTTACTGACATATCTAGGTCACTTTCACATAGCTTTTGATTTTCACTTATAGTGATGCTGCACTTTTCAAGACTTTCTTGAAAGAGAGTGAGGATGACTTTCTGAGGAGATTGAGGATGTGCTTGTTAGGTGTCAGCATAAAGCCTGTGTCAGTAGCACAGATTGTATGGAGCAAAGAGCTGCACATAATTTTAGTTTCAGAATAAGGTCTGTCTCAATTAAAGAGGTAATGATTTTTGTGTCAATTGACTGTAAGAACAAGAGAACCATGGTGTCAATGCATATCCTTAAAACAATCTGCCCAAATTCTTGGCCAGTCACTGAATGGTTTATCTGCCACACAGACAAGCATTTATTAAACTGACTCCAAAGACGGTCTCTATGGTCCCCAGTGACAAAAGCAACCACTGCTTGGCTTTGATGCTTGTGTTGTGAATGAATGACGTTTTTGAGATGTGAATGTACTACCCAGGGAGAAAGTCACGGTTCTGGTGGCCAGAGTTTTATTGGATATTTTATGACACCGTAAATGGCCGGTGAAGAGACACTGCTGCTACAGACACTTCAGTTTGTATTAGATGTAAAGAAAAAAAAGCTGTTAGTCAGAACTAAATGTCTGTCTTGTTCATTGTCAGCAAATAGGAATCCAACTGATCTCTTTCTTCAGGAAGCACTGGACTGCAACTGTTAACATAAATAACCTCTTTGGTTATCTTCCTTTGAAGGTTTGTACTCAATACATGATTTCTGTACTATAGTCTAAGTAGTTAAGAGGAACATTGATAACTTATTTTTACACATAATAAAACAATCACCCTATTAAAATATTTACACACTGTAAAGAGAAGTACAAAAATGATTGTTTCTGATGAGAAATCAGAATGGATAGTTTTTTAATTCATTAAAACTATTAATGTGTACATCAAGGCTGGAGATGTGGTTAAATGTGTACTCCCAGGGTTCTGCACCAATGCCATGCAGAATTCTACCTGTCTTTCCCAATGGGCAGGGATTGGGAGGGTCTGGATAGCCTTGGTCTTCACTGAAATCCTTTGGGATATTGTCTCCTGTCAGTTCAGCCACAATGTTTGGAATATTGCCATAGGGACCCAAATGCTGCAGCCCCTCATGAGCACCGCCTAGGGGGGAAAGAGAAACAGTTAGAGAATTACAGTATGTTTAAGGATTATTGGACTCAACAGGCTAATATTTATTTAGAATAATCTTGCTTGTGACCTGCTTAGCCAAAAAGAAGCTCTTTGGAGATTAATTCTCAAGACTACATTTCTTGGAATTTACAATTTCCTAGGGCAATGTTTATAAAATTATAGTAAAAATGTTCGCTTTTTAAAGCTCTCTTTTAGGGCTTATCAGTAAAGTAAATAAAAAATTGAAACAGACATGTGATCTTGAACAGTCCTAGGACACCAGGTTCTTTATACATGACAGCCCCACAGCCCCACGCTCGCACACAGTGTGCACAAGATCAATACCATTGTTCTGTTGGACCGCAGCCCATTCCAAGCTCGGAAAATTAATGTGGAACTTTTGGAAGGTTGGTTTACATGGATGCATTTTCAGAAATTGACCAAGGATAGCCCATATGTGTTTGATACGTAGGCTTTGTTTCATGTGCATCGCAGTGGCTGGATTGTGAGGTCCTGTTTGTTTGCTATACTCCTTGACCAACTTCTTTTAGCCAAGACTTAACAAATAGATTTACACAATCTGCAGCACTGAAAGGTTTTGACAACTGAGTGACTAACCATACAACCTACCAATACCCACTGTCTCCAAGAGTTCATATTATATGACTCAACAATAAAGTTAAAAATCCATAATAATGTCTATAACAAATAGGCACACACAAAACAAAAACTGGATTATTTTTAATTTACAGTATTTTAAAATTACGTAAGTAATTACCACATATTTTGTTTTCCAGATTAGGAGTCCTTATTAAAATATAAAATGTTCAATAAATTAACAAATAAAATCCCAAATGTCATTTATATACAGTATTGCTTTAACCCATGAAACATGCAGTACTGAATAGGTAAACAAATGTATGAAACTCAGAACTGTGAAATGTTATTATTTGTAAGCATTACATTAAAAGCAGCAGTGCGGAATTACAGATTAGTTAAATAGAAACTCAGGTAATAAATACACCAGAAGATGGTTATAGAGGTTTTCAACATCTTAATGTTGTGGTGTGTCTGATGATGTCTATGCCTCAGTATTTAAGAACTAATTACTATTCTTTTGTTTGTATATATTGTACATATGGTTACAAGCCATCTTATTTTATCCTTTGCTGGACTTGTGCCAAAGCTCATTCTTTAAATCTCATAAAACTCACACTGCATTCATTGCTCTATTTATAGATCATTAAGTCTTGGTATCCTCGGTAACAGGTTTGATTAAATACTATATTTTTAGCAGGATCAAATGATTGTTCTCACTGTAAATACTCTGCTCCACTGTTCACAGACTACTCTTAATGAAACGTAAAATATTGGTATGCAGGCGATTCTTTTCATTTTGGCTGTAACATCTTCAAACTGCCTGTCATAGGAACTGGAAAGTTTTGCACCATTAGTAGTTTTAACTAGGAGAAAACATAACCTGTCATTGTCAGTACTGTGGTTGAAAAACCAAAGCGAACATACCTGTATTTAATTTGAAAGCTGTGGAAAACCTGCTTATATTTCTCCAACAATGCCCCCTTGTGGAATTAAAATGCACTTCTGAGTTTAAGTCAAATCTTTTCTTGCGAAACAAATACACAAGAGCATTATCAGTATTATTCTTCTGAGTCTGGTGAATTTGTGCCTACATTTTTTAAAATAGAAAAACTTCAAGAAGTGAGAAGACAACACCTTCCTCTTCATTGAAGCTTTATTAAAAAGCTTCAATGACACTTACGGGACAGAGCAGTGGCTCTGTGGCTAAGGATGTGTGCCTGTGGCTGGAAGGTTGCTGGTTCAAATCCTGCAGCTGGCAGAGGAATCCTACTCTGTTGGGCCCCTGAGCAAGGTTAAGGGCCTCTGACCACAGGCTCTCTCCCTGTCTGTCTCATGGAGAGCAAGCTCAGTTATGCAAAAAGATAATTCCTAATGCACAAAATTATAAAGGGTTAATAAAGTGATGTTATTATTATTAAAACAGAAATTTAAAAATGGCCCACCTGTGGCATCTAAATTTACATTTTAAATTGGTGCTGATAAAATAAAGTTGTGATTTTCAAAAGAGTGATTTTAAACTACTCATAAAAGGTGGCAACTGTGTTTGTGGATACTTTTAGAATTATGAGAAACAAACTAAACAAAGCAAAACATACAAAAACAAAATTGCCTTGCAAATGTTTGTTTTCCTCTCCATTGTTATCCATGATGAAAGTTGTTTTCTTTTACATCTTACAGCAGCTATTCAAAGTCTTTCAAATCCACAACAGCAATTTCATTAGTACTGTCTTGCCCTGAGCTGTCTTCCAGCAGTCCTGGGAGGTCTCAGATAGTGTCACATTATCACCCTATAGATCTGTGTAACACAATGGTGACAACACTCCAGCAATGACTGTCTCTGCAAAGCTAGACAGCTACATCAGAGTCCTCAGTGAATTATACCATTTTGCCAAGCAAGAACCATGCTGTCTCCTCAAGAATCTTAAAGAAACTTATTAACTTACAATCTATTCACTCTCTGTCTCAAAACATTTGATTTCCATTTTCATGTACATTTTGTAAGTTTCTACAAGCTCTGGTTGGTAGCAAAAGTTTTAATTTAACTTCTGTATGAGAAGTCCATGTAGATTCTCTTTTCATCCTTAACTAAACTTATTGTTAATTTCTTAAAAACTAAAAACTGTAGCAGTACTCAATGAACACAAATATGACCAGAGTCATAATGTGCCTAGTAACTGCAATTAGCAGACTAATTGTTTCAGACGATCTGGAAACCCCACATACAGAAAACTGTCTTTGAATATTGTACTATTATGAAGATAAATCACGGTGGCAAAAATAATATGACCACACTGGGAGCACTACTGTATATTAACTGTACAATAATATAACAGATCAAATCATGAGCACAATTTGCATTAAAGAGGCCAACAGTTTCTGCAGAACTGTTTTGGCCGAAATATTTAGAGGAAACACTTATTCTGGTATTAAATATTGAGGCTTATATAAAAGGGAACAAAATACCAAACAGTATATAAAAAATATGACGTATATGTTTAATAATGTTATTTGAGACTGACATTTAAACCAGTAAATGTATTTCTTATAAGTAAATGTTGAGACTGGTGTAAAGACTGAGATCCAACACAACTAAAAATGTTACTTCATAGCATCACTCTCGCTCCTCCAAAGTATTTACTTTCAAAATCTTACAAAAGATTTACAGAAACAAACAACTGAATAAAGACATTTCACTCATCAAAGGTCAGTGTTGAAAAGGGGTTTTATTGTTGTGGAACAAACGTGCTTTACTGTTATAACAGACATCTGACGGAGTTACACGCAATCTGAGATTGGTTTACCAAGCCTGTGGCTTGAGTAATTATATATTTTATGTCAGGATAACTTTCTAGTTAATCATAAAAAATGTTTTTGTTCATATTTCATTTTATAGCTTATAGCCCTGTAATTTTTGTACACATAGTAGATGTAAAATAGTTGTTATTCTTTCTTGGTTTTCTTTGTGTTGTGCTGTGGTATGGGGCCCACTCTCAAACGTTTTATTATGTTGTACTGAAATTCCTGTTTTCATACCTATTTCAATAGTTTCAGTTTTAATGTCTTTGCGAGTAAGCCTTTGGTGGGGGACTTACATTCAAACTCTAAACTTTCTGTTAATGAATGATCATTAAATGAATGAATGATTTCAAATAATACTTTCAAATAAAAAATCAAAGTGTTATGAAAAGGGGCTTCTCCAGTAGGGAGTTTTTTTAAAATATGTGTCTAACAAAGGACAAATGTAAATACATAGTTTCACATTGCTTTCATCAACCTAAACAATTCAAAATTTACCAAAGTATCTTTAAACAAACTTCTGAAATATATCTTATGGACTAGTAGATCTACTGTAGATTCAACACAAATTTCATTTTACTCTTTAAAAGCTTTGAAAGAATAGCTTTGCACTGTGCCAATGATAATAGCACAAAACAGTCCAACTTGATGTAAAAACTGTTATGTAAAAATATCTACATATAGTTAATATTACATGTTGAAGAAAGCAACAATGTATTATTCACCTAGCTTGTTTGTTATTTACTACACAATACATATAAGCCATATAGTGGAAAATAAAGCTTTGAAACAAAAATATTTTTGTCTAAACTGGGATATTTATTTATATTTTTTATATTTATATAACATTCACCAAGTGTACGGTAACACCTTTATCCCCACAACATTCTGAAACATTTAAAAGCTGGGTAGTTATTCGTTTCAGCTGAAATTAAAATCTTTCATCGACGCATCAAGTAAAATGCCTGTTTTATTTTTTATTTTTTAAAGGGCAGTACCTTCAATGCTCTGTGGTCCCACGATGTTGGTGGCCTGGTGTGCAGGGTACTCTACTCTGGGTCTAGCAATGCCCAGCTGTTCCATTACTCCATGGAGGAGACGCTGAATGTCTGCCTCTGACACTTGGTCCACTGTGCGGAGACTGTGACTGGAGACCAGAGCTACCCAGCACAACACCACACATAGCATGACCCCGTGTAGAAGGCTGGCCAAGGACCTCATGGCCAAGATAACCTGTAGGTGGCAGTGAATTCATTCAATGTGTGTTGAATTCATGCATGGAGAAAAAAAAAAAAAACCTGACTTGGCTGCTCAGCTCATTAGTCACCGGAGAAGCCAAAGTGAAGTGGATCGGCATGGGCAGGCAGATGTCATTATCCATTATATTCTCTTTTTTGTTGGAAAATATGACATGAAAAGATAAAAGCCCTTTATTCTTGCAGGTCTTCTACATTCAATTAGGAAGTTGAATTCAAATTCTTTCTGATGAAGACTGTAAAACTGTATTTCATCCCTTATCCATGTCCATTTACGTATTTTTTGGTAAATATATGATTCTTGCTCTTTGTTTTGACTGACTTATTCTGTGGCATAATCACTACGTTGCAATTAATTTTAGAGGACGTCTTTAAAGCGCACTGAGAATGTGCAGCGATGGTTAATTAAGTGATGCACATACAGTAGTTAAATATTATATTGTTAAGGAACTGACCTATAGGCATATTAAATTATATTGTTAGTTCTCTTAGTAACTATTGTTAGTATTTTGTTAAAGATTATATTGAGTAAGAGCTGACCAGTTGACAAGCATCCTTGTGTTGCTTCTTTCAAGAGGGGTCTGAAAATTATCCAAGGAACTATCAAAAAGCTGAGAAGCTAAATTGTAAGGAAACTCCAGCTGATATATGTTCCATTAATTTTGTCTCCATTTACTATCAACTGCACTAAGGTTTCTTCTAAGCCCGTATTTAAATATGTAATTGTATCATCAATCAATACAATTGATCAGCAATGTTCTTTACTTATTATTGGAAGACAGTCTCTGACGTCATTTAATAAGATGTGGGATTGAAAGAAAAGGATTTTGGTAAACAGTCTTATTCACGTCGGAGTAAAACGCCATTTTCTTCCATGATTTCTCTCCAATAGCTGGCAAATTAAATTTACAGCTGTTTTTCTCCAATGATAAACACTGTACAGTCAAATAAAATCTGAAACGCAAATAATTTACAAATTCTGTTTTCCCGTAAATACAGGGCACTTATAATATCTCCCCAATTATACTAATTTTACAATGATTGTAAAAAATTATATTTCTAATTACAAAACCGTTACTGGCGAAGCTAAAAAATAAACTACATGACGTCAAAATGAGAAACGATCACCAAGAAAAATGTAAAGGTATTTATGTCTTATGTATTTTTTTAATCAAATCTTAAATCCAGTATCCATTACCCCATTACAAATATTTCACAGCTTGATATATTGATTTTGTCCAGATATTTAGAGCTGCCACACTCTTTAGGCCACGTTACAAAAATGTTTCATTTACGAAATGGAATCGGTTATCTGAATGCATTAAGACAATACACAAGACAGCTATTCGTACGGCTTCTTTTAGCATTGGCTACATTTGTAATCCACTTTACGCTAATGGTTTGGCTTTAACGTCATGTACAGTAGGCCGTTGGATTCGCTTAAGATAGACTGGATAACAAAACTACAAAAAACTGAAATTCGTTATTGTAAAGAATATTACAGGTGATGCTAATATTAAGAAAACGAACCGACGTCGTTTAAAACCCATCAGATTAAATTTACTTACCATAAAACCAGGATAATATCTTGCAGAGATAGACGAAGATGCGCTACGTTGCGCAGTGATAGTGCCTGAGGTTTACTGTGAATAATTTATGCCGTTACTAAGGTAGCCGGGCTTGAAGACAGATCAAGCGTTCATTGGTCCTTAGACAAAAAAAGATGAGCATCTGCTCAGGTGTTTTTTGTGGTTTAGTGTCGGCCGCAATGCTCAGCAACCAAAGCTTTAATATTACAGGCCAGCGTAATATGAAAGTGTTTGAAAAACACAACAGCAAATGTGTTTCGCGATAGACAAAGTACAGATATCAATATTGACACGAGAAGTGCTTGTCGTCACTGCTTTTGAGGATTTGTGCTTTTAACAGTGCAATTAACATTGGATTAGCCGATCAACACAGCTTGCTTTGTAGAAACGAATTTGAGCCACATCCTTCATTTGTATTATAAAGATTGCAAGATTAATTTACGGGTTAAGAAAGACTATGAAAATAACATAATTTAAATGCGCATACCACACCCGACCTCTTCAATATTCGGTTGCAACATACTGATCATAAGCAGTTAAAACAAAAGATTGTCCTGTTTTTAATGTTGAGCGTTTTCATAGTCTTCTGCGCAAGGTCCTCAATATTTCAGATCAGACTGGTTTGTGATTTGTGCTTTTCCCCCCACTGATGTATACAACGTATATGAAAAATATGCTAATTGTAAAGGAAACCTAGCATTAACACTCCTTTGTGACACTAGTTGTCTCTACTTCGCGTATCAAAAACAGCGTTCAAAATCGGTTTTATGTCAATGTTGACCGACGTAGAAATCAAATTAATTTCAACCCGCAGGATAAATGTCAAAGACTGTTGTTTCTAAGGAACAGATAGTTACAGCACAAACGTAGCTAAACCAACTATTAATATTAACTTCGGTGCTGACTGTTAACAAGAAACTTGCTTTTACGTCCCTTGCCTGCAATACCAAACCTTTTTAAAAATGTCCATGACTGAAATCAAGTGTAACCTTTTAAACCATAATTTATTGAAGTTGAAGGCCAAATGTAAACCCTACTACACCATATTTAACGTTTTTAAAACTGTAATTTTGAATTTCTTTAAAGAACCTACAAAAAGAAAAAAAAACACTATAATCACCTCTTTTAAAACACATGTACAAGACTGTAGAGTTTAAACAGGATTCTGCTACCACTTTTTATCATTCTACTAAGCATGAATAATTCTTTACCAGTTCATAAATGTCTAAGCCATTTAAGTTTCTGCATAACAAGCCTTTAAATAATTCTTATTATAAAGTATTTCAGATATTCTTAATCATTGGATGTGTTGGTATCATATAATCCGTTTCTTTGTTCTGACTTGCCTGAATTTCAGCAGCTTTCTCTTAACTACCCCTCCCTGCATCATCCAAAACTGCATCACACTTAGCAACCTAAATTTCTTCTGCCTTGAAACTCTTCCTACAGTATGTGCACTCAATGATTTGAGTATCTGAGCAGATACTTCTGCTCAGATATAATTTAAGATCCTTATTTACCCACCACTCCCTTTATCACTTTGCCCCTTCATATCTCCTTATGTCCTGGTCACAAATGCTAAAACTTTGCTGTTTAGTTTTTCTTTCCCTTCACTTTCATGCCTGCTCATTCTGCTTTAACAGCCCGAGTGGAACCAGATACTTTAACATATCAGAAAGAAACTCTGGCACTTCCTTAAAAACAAATTTATACTCTAACTTCAGATCATATGACTCATAATTGCAATTTATACCTCATGTTTGTAGACATTTAAAGCCTAATAATTATTTAGTTATAATGCAATGTTTGCATTAAACTTCATTTATCCCCCTCTATTTTACAGATACAATGTAAATAGATAAATGTTAGCAGTTCAACATCCAGGTGATATCTTGTATGAAGCCATCTCCTAAATTAATTTAAATGAAATACTGTGGATTGATGTAATTCTCTGCTTATTTTTTCTTATTTCAGACAATTTCTCAACCTTTGTTCTTAGAATTCACTTACACATGAAGACTGAAGAATTGTTCAGATATGTTGAAGGAAATGAAATAAGGAAAAAAATCTCATTATAGTCCCAATAACCAGGTGATCAAGAGGACTATATTGTATGTTTCCTTCAACATAAAGCTTTCATGAATGGCAGAATGTTTCACAAAACTTTATTGTACTTTAAGTCCATAACCCTGAAATATGAACTGTAAAAGTGATGTTTCTAACACTGTACAGTGCAAAAAGTCAAACTTGTTAAAAAACGCAATATGCTTTAGAATTTCTTTTGTATAGATTTTATTGCCGTTTTCAAGTTTGTATGCAGTATAAACTTAATTTCTTTGTACAAAAGACATTCACAAAGAGAAAAGGGGACATTTTTTTTTCATTCTTCCTCCAATTAAACTGAAAACAAAAGTCATTTGGCAAAAAATACCTAAAACACACCCTTTTTCTAATCCTCATAATAAGCCACTAAACTGCCTCAGCTCCCGCTCTTAAAAATGACCGGCATATAACTTAAAATATTTAAAAGCAACACTTAAAAGTAATTTTAAAAAGGAACACATAAGCTAACTTATTTTGCAACATATACCGTTACTCAATCATTGTAACATAACTAATTACAATGGTAGTATTTTGAATTTTATGTTACAGGTTCTCCAGCTCAAGGCAAGACCAGTCCAAGGTGAATGACCCTTGACCAAAAACATTCTCAACAAGGTAAGACTGTTATTCAAACTGCCCCCTCAAATCTACCTGGTAAACTCAACCGTTTCATTATACTGACCATGTAAAAAGTAACAAAAGCAAAAATATTAAAACTTCAAAAACAGTCGAACTATAAATTCATCCATTCCAAGATTTTCATTGATACTACAGGTACTTATTGTATAATCACACGCTGAAGGTGGATGACAAAAAACATTATGGTTTAGTACTTAATTCACAAATCATCCCTGATGGCTATATTACATAAACTTGCATTTACAGATAAAGAAAATAAATTAACATTGTAAACAAGGTGAATACATTGCTTGAAGTAATAATTCAAAGTCCAGGCAGGAGTTCAATTGCACATAGCAGGAGGTCTAGAGTAGATCAGAGATCTATAGCTCTTGTAGTTGACAAAAATTTGCCTTCAGGCAATGGATTCTTAGGCGAGCCTTTGAAACGGCATTTTTCTTTCTCTATGATGTGATGCATGATGGATCTCTCTGCATTAGTTTGATTTGGACTATTATTCTTATTTGCCAGCAAAGAAACCTTGGGTTTCTGTTGTACCTTGTTAGTAACATCACCAAGAGCAGATTGCTTTGTTTGGTGAATGAAGCTTTTGGTACTGTTGGAAAGTTTCTTGTGTTCATTACCAGGATGATAGCAAGGTATCGGGTCTTCAGGGTTTTGGAAACAAAGCCCCTCTTTTGAAAACAGGCCACTTTCATGACTCACTGACTTAACCATCGTTGGGGTGGTAACTTCTGAGGAGCAGTTCATGCCTCCTGTTGGTCTTCTTTCCGCAAGCAGTGAATTAATCCTTCGGACAGACTGGCGTACAGGGGTGCGTTGGAATTTAAGTGGGGACTTGATTGTTTTTGTCTTAGGAGTATGATCATTCAAAGAAAGCACAGTAAATCTTTGAATGTGATCGGCCACCCTTAAAGGTATAGTTTCTGAAACATCTGATACTGGTGATTTTTCTAATTTGTTTTTCTGAAATTCTGTATTCTGATCTGGCATTCTTGGAGTTTCAACTTGCATATCAGATCGTGAAACATCACTAACAGGAGGTGCCGGCATTTTGAGCAACTGAACTGTTAATGTGGATGTACAGAGAGGTGACTGTACAACGTCCGAGACCGCTTTATCAGGTAAAGCGGTAGTGGTATTAAGATCTTCAATAAAACTGCTCTTTAATATCTGAGCTTCACCAGTTAGTGCACAGTCATTATCTAGATTGTTACTCTGGAACACAGCTTGTTCAATTCCCTGTGAAGCATCAGACTGATCTGATCCTGGCTGCTGACAGCTTTCTAGTGATGGAGACTCACTGAGAATGCCTCTTTGGTCAAACATGAAGTGGTGATTCTCCATGAGATCCTTTTGAGGAGAAATGTAGGAATTTCTATTTTTTTCATATGATTCACATTCTTGAGAATTAGACTCTGGCAAAAATACTGAGTCAATTAAAATATCATTTTCTCCTTCTTTTAAGTCTATTTCCTTTTGTGGGGAGCTTCTGTCCCCAATAAGTGAACACAGATTACTCCCAGATTCTGTGAAAGCCTTTTTAATCTTCAAGAGGGTTGTTCCAGTGACACTGTTTTCATCCTCAGTGAAGGAGTTATTACTCCTAAGGTTTTCACTGCTGGAAGTGGATCGGAGATCTTTAGGAATACCAGCTATAATTGGTGGCTTTCCAGAGATCAAGGCAGGCTCAGAGAAGTAGCTGCTTTTCAGGTATTTGCCCATTGGTGTTTCTGTGTAGGTTTCATCACTGAATACAAGAGGATCAACAGGGCTGGCTCCATTCCAGGAAGTCCTGTGGGTTGTTGGATCACACTGAGGGGTAAGCAGATTCTCTTCAGATTTGCTAATATACCTGGAACCTAAAAGACAAAGTACAATATCGTTAATTATTCCAGGAATTACCAAGTTGGACGTCACTATAAAATTGTCTACAAACTGCACATTTTAATGGTTACACCATTTGACGTGTTAAGAATATTCTGCCATTCTACATCATTTTCTCTTTCAAGTATAATGAGTGTACCCTTGAAAAGTCAGCACCACACTTATAAATTCACTTATTCATACCACAAAATTGTTCTTATTCGAGAAACATACTTCAGATTACTCTATTGTTTTTATTACAGTTCTAAAGTGTCTGCCTCACTAGTTTTGTTGTGATTTGTATTTGACTGTTTATTAAATCACCCTGGAAAAAGGCATCACCTAAGAAAACGTATTTTTTAATGCATGAAACATCAATCCAATAGTTTTGCCATTTGTGTAAATTATTTTATCTAAATTCCAGTTATTCTGGAAGGATACTGTACAATAAGTGTTAGATACAGATTGTACAATAGTTGTTAAAAGGGCTATAGTATAAAATATACTTACCCTTTCTTGTGCATTTATTTCTTATGATGACAGGACTAAAGGCAGCATCTTTTGCAGACCCAAAACTGGTGTCACTTTCTTGTGTGGCAAGGCGCCAACCAATGCTTTCTGATCCTTTTGGTGCCACAAATGAATTTGATATGACGCTCTGTTGGAATAAAGGTATCTATCTTTTAATTTGAGAAAGTTATTGCATATTCTGTTTTTGTCTGAATATACATATAAAAGGAAATTTACCCTTAAAACATTACAAATTGTGCAAAATATTTAAATATTTAGTTTTTTATTTTTCCCCAATGAATTGTTCAAGATCAGCTGACATTTAGAGAAAAAAAATTAATCAGGTATTAGCAAATAAGCATTTCCAACAAAATATTTCATAGTATTACACTATATAAACATTTTCTACAAGTTTTAAAATACATTCTATTAAAGTTCAAATAATAACATGCTCTTACATTAATGATTAATATGCATACATGGTTTATGCAGGAATAACCATTCCTTACAGAAGTTTGCAGAAAACAGTGAAATGCACAGCATTATAGATCATTTTAGTGTACTCTACAATGAAAAGGTCTTCAAAATACCAGTTACGTCCAGTTTTACCAAAACAAATATTGAAGACTTTGCATTGATTTTACAAAATACTATTACAGTACAATGTAGCAGATCCTTTAACATTAATTAATAACATAATAAACATATATTAATAACATTTAATATAAATGAATGTTATAATAAAGATGAATTATTAGTAATCAATTACACTTTATACAAAAAACCTGACTGTGCTTTAATTAATCAAGCTCAATTTAAAAAAAGTCAATATGCTTAGCAAAAGTACTTTGTCTTTAGAATTAAAGTACTGATCTTTAGTGTTCAATAGTTATACTTATTAGTCCCATTGATTTTAAGCCCATACAAACAAAAAAAACTACAGTACACGAGAAGATTTAAATCTTAAACCCAAAACATAAAACAATAAGACCGTTAATACAACCAATTCAATCTTCCAAATTGAGTTTAAATTTCTTCCATTTTATTTGAAGCCAAATTTTTTCTTAGACTATGGGTGGCAACATTCAACCATTGGATCCCGGACTTACAGAATCTCTGCTGCTCTTGCCAAGACTGAACCGAAGACGCAGTGACTTGCGTACCACTTCTTTTCTGCAGACTCTTGGGGAAAAGCAACCTGCTTTTCCAGATTCAACTCTGGGAATGCAAAATCAAAACAAATGTTTAAAAAAGATATCAAAATTGTCAAAATCTTGAATTCTTATTCTTTCTTTGCGTTTTACTTATGGTACAACTGTACCTGTCAACTGATCAATGCTGACTATTCGTGTACTGAAATACTTCTTTTCAAGTGGATTCCAAACAAATTTTAACATTTTTAAATGAGACACCTGATTTAAAATAAAAACTAATATTATATAATACCAATAACATGGGACAGCAATACCTCACTTAGCGCTAAGGATACATTCCAGAGAAAAGAACGGTGTTGGAATCAGTACTAAAAGAGGTAATTAGAACATGGATTCAATGGGGATGCGTTTCAGGGGGCATTATTTCTTAACATTAGATATTATTTCCAAGAGTGACATTAGAGCTTCATTGGAGCATCAGTAATGGGAGACTGATAACTTTACAACTGAATATAATTAAATGCATTTTATACAGAAAGAAGAGTTGTAATCAACTGTCTAGATACAGATAATACAATTGACTACGCATTAATTCAGTTGGAGCTTGCGTAGATTAACCAATTTGTCTTTACGACTCCATCTTTGATCAGAAGAACTGCTATAAATGTCATGTCATTTACCAAACCGCTTTGTACCATATGGTGTCGTGGGAAGCTGGAGCCTACCCAGCAAGCAATGAGCGCAAGGCAGGGTACACCCTGGATAGGGTGCCAGTCCAAGGGAGGGCAAGTGCAAGCCAATCATATATGGGGACAATTTGAAGGCCACGGTAAAGCCTGAGGGGGGAAATTTGGCCCGGACACCGGGATAACTCCCTACTCTTATTGAGAAATGCCTGGGGATCTTTAATGACCACTGAGTGTCAGGACCTCAGTTTAACATATCATCCAAAAGATGGCGCTCACTACAGTATAGTGTCCCTGCCACTATACAGGGGCATTAAGACCCACACAGACCGCAGGGTGGGCACCCCCCGCTGGTCCCACTAACACCACTTCCAGCAGCAACCACAGCTTCCCAGGAGGTCTCCCATACAGGTACTGACCAGGCTCAGCCCTGCTTAGTTTCAGTGGGTAGCCTGTTGAGAGCTGCAGGGTGATATGGCTGCTGGCCTGCTGTAAATGCCATAATTAAAATGATGTTTCTTACTGTGGTGAAGCAGTGCTAATATAGGTAGGTACATCTCTTCTTTGGAAGAGTTTTAGTTTCGGAATGAGCTCCCCCTTTTCATTTTCCCAAATGAGAAATAAAGTTGTACTGAATCCGAGTGCAGTCACAGACTGACATTAATATACATTTTAGTTAAGAAAAATAAAATTTAGTCCAAACTACATTCATTGCTCATAAACACAGTTTTAAATGCTAACCATGTTTCCCATCCCCCAGTTTAAATTAAGATTTACTGCAAATTGATCTTTATATATTTATACTTTTAAATGTATGTTTAATAGAAAAAATACTTTTAAAGGGTCCTTTCGCCTTTAGAGGGTTAGCAAGTCTCAATGGAACACCTACCTGTTCACTTTTTTGTACTCAATTCTTTTACTTTTTCTTTTTGCAGAATTGGCAGTGTGTCTAACCCCACCAGCAGAAGATACAGCACCGTGTGAAGAATCCAGAGATGTAGAAGGACTAGCATCATTAGTATGACCTGGAAGCAGGAGAGATTCAGTGGATGAACTGAAGATGTAGTTTCAAAGTATTAAAAGATAACTATTTTAACAAGAATAATAAAAAATCATTTCAATTTATTATTAACTGGTTTGTTTTGGGGTTTGTCAAGGTTACACCATGGGTCTTTAATGGACTACAAGTAGTATCACTTTTGAAGCTGAATCTGTAAGAATCTGACAGTGCAGAAATAGTTTAATATTTCGTCCATTATAGTTTATCTCACACACACACTTTAGCTTTGCCTAAGTCCATACTGTTAAGTGGGAAGAGTTACACTTTTCTTTTTCACATACCTGAGCCTGGAGTTGAGCCACTACCAAAAATGATGTTTGGAAGTAATTCTAAAGCAAGGTTGTGTTTCAAAGACCTTCGCTTTTTGTTGGAAAATCCCAAGCCTTGTGCAGACTCATGAGGAAGCTTTCGTTTAGAGTTTGGAGTCAATATCACAGGAGTGGCTGACGAAATAACTGCAAGCAAGACAGGGCGCACATGTAAAATGTAAAACATAGCACAGACACGTAAAACCATAGGATAATTGTTGTGTACAACAAAACGATTGATGTGCGAGTTATGACCTGGGCAGGAGTGTATAGTGTATAGTATTGCTTGCAAGATGCGATTGTGATGCTGTGGATGCCCTACTTGGCAGACCTGAGCCAATTACAAATTTGTGGGATATGCCAGAACAGTGGGATATGCGTTACCTAGGGCTCAGAGATCAGTGAATAGGCTTATACTTTCCCAGACTCTATAAGAGGAATGGGATAGAATCCATCAGCAACCTGGTGCAAAGCATGTATAACAGATGAAGTTTGCAGTACTTCCAACAATGGTCATTTATGCTATTAGCCTTGTGATTTTTATAATAGGTCCCCAGTTGATAAACTCTCTTGATATTAAATGGGAATCAGCATACTAAATTTACCTACATCAGATCTGTTCAATAAAATGTCAGTTATAAGTGGCTGACAACTGGATCTGCATCTTTTGCAGTTCTACGTTACTTTTGAAGACCCATATTTATGACTGCCTACACTGTGATTTTTTTAATACGTATAATAAGCCTCCAGACTGATTTTTCATCTGTAATTATGTGGTAAAACCAGCAAAAAGCAGTCATAAAAGCATCAAAAATGGCAAGCAGTCATTGTAGCAAAAGCACAATTTTTAAAGCACATCATTTATATATCTATCAAAGAAGAAGGCAGTCATGGGATAGCAAAGTTGCTAGATGTCATTTCTGTCCAAGGACAAATCAGAATTTCAGTAAAAAACTACTTGAGCATTTACATTTTTTAGCAACTCTGTTATTGACTATATTTTTGCTTATAGGCTAGAATCACACAAGTTTTAAAATGTCAAATGTGCTTACACAAGAAAAGGCAAAACCAATCAAAAAATTAAATTTGAACTGCCCATCACCAACTCTTCAATTGCAAAAGGAGGAGCCTGAAAATGTAATATTTTCACCTTGACAGAAGAGATTGAGAAGATGAAGAAGGGTATAAAATGACTGTACCGAGATACCTACCTGATCCATCAAACTGAGGTGTATTTGTGGGTGTTCTATTAGTTTTTAACTTATGGAGTGCTCCATTAACCATTTCTGTAATGTAAGACAAAGCGAAATCTATCATGTTCTATACTCAGAGCACCACTAAATTATATTAGGAGCCAGGATAAATTTACGCATTTAAAATACACTACACAATTTCTAAAATCATAAAAAACTGACTTAAAGTCACAATGTTTTGCAGTTTTGACTCTTAGAAGGCATTCCTACACATGTATGTATGAGGCCAAACCATTTTCCAAAAAAGACTGTTAAAAGAAAATGAGTCACTGTAAACAGATCTTATTTCACTGTAATAATTTTCATAAAATAATCCAAGTTATGAAAGGACATAAGCAGAGATTCAAAGAAAACAGCCTCCCAGATAGATACTGACAAGAACAACAGATGTTTCACTTCAGATTTACCTCCAACACTTCGCCGCCTCCTCTTTTTTACATCTGAAAACTCACTCTCCCCTCCTTCTCCCCTACTTTCTAGAGTGGGCGTGGCAAGACCACCATCAACTCCAAGCATTGCAGGAATCTTCTCCATGATAAAATGTGGTGCAGAACCTGGTGCAGAAGTCAAAAGGATACTTTTTATGCACTAAATTGTAGACATGTCTTTTTCAGAAACGATTTGGAGAATCTATACCACTCTGTTCTGTGACCGGTCAAATTCTACTACACTACAGATGAAGTTAGGAAAGGCACATCAAAATGATTCAAAGGTTCTCCAAGCAAACCCAACATTCGGTTATTAAATGCTTAACTACAAGAGGGTCTCTACATCTTCGGATTTAATATTCGGTATGGCCGATGGGGTCTTGGATGAAAGAAGAGCAGAGTGGGATGAAACCGACCTGAAGGCAGTTAACAGCAACTTTCAAATTAGCAGTGCAATAGACTAGGATGGTGAGATAAATATAGCTAATAAGTGAGCAGGGCTGCTTGCCGAAATATCCAGTACCCAACATCTGTACCTCAACATGGTCTTGTTTTTGTATTGTAATGAACTGTTATGTAGGCAGTGTGGGGAATGACAGGCTGGAAACAATTTACAGCCTTACTGAGAGCTTTAATGCCAGTTTTATTACAATGGGGCACGCCAATCATGGAGGCAGAGAGATACTGCAGGCTGAATGCAGAGGAGGGATTCATGTTTATTTTACCCGATTACTACAAGTTTGTGATTACTGTTATTTCTTTTTGTTGATCAATGTTATTGAACTTAAATTCAATGCATTAGTACTTTAAATATCATATAAAGAAGGGTTACCTATGTTTTTTTAACCATACATACTATATACTGCAGTTGATCATGCAGCGGTATGAGGTGGACTTGGTTATACTTGAATTTGGCTATTCATGATGGGAATACACTGAACTCTCACAAATGTCGACATCATGCAAAACGGGCTCATGTACAGGTGACCAAAACCAGACGTAAAAATCTGAACTTTTAACAAATAAAGAGCTTAAAAGACAACTAAAGGGGAAAATATGAAAATTAAATGCAACTTCTTACCAAAAGTGTCAGCATGCTCTATGAAATAATGCACTATGGCTGCCTGCTGTTTAAGACGTTTTTCAGTTGTTACAGTCATCTTTTCATTTACATTACTGGAATGCAGGAGATTTGGGGCAAAGATCACAGATAGGTTACTGCTGTCCATCTTGTTCTTTGCAGATCTAAGACAAAGCAAAGAAGGATTAACAAACTGAATTTATGATTAAAAAGCATTCCTTATTCACTTGTGGTCTGTTACACGGATTTATTTTTAAACTGTGTATGTCCCACTTATTACCTGTTTCTTGAGAATGGGCAAAAAACTAACAATTTTAAATTAGAGTACTTATGTTTATTTTAAGCCTACTATAGACATTTCTGAGCCTTTTGAGACCTCCCATTTTATTAGGGATATTAACAAGTAACAATACTGTATGTAATCTACTTGATACACAAAGAAAATAATTCCCCAAATTCACAGTACTGATGAAAGAAGAATTTTTAGTGGCGCAGTGAGGCTGTGTGAGCCTACCTCTGGGATACATTTTTGAGAAAGTTAAAAAAGTAACGCAGTGTCTGAGAAACTCCATCGGGAAGCATGCATGAAAGCAGATGTGTGGCAGTTGTCCTCTCTTCCTCTGTCAACAACTGCTGTGCCTTGAGAAGTGCATCATGCAGTTCGGTGGGAATGGCAGGTTCGGGCAGCTCTCGGAAGAACTGCTTAAGAAGTCCAGCTATATCACAAGGGAGAGCTGAAGGAATACAGTCCTCTCCCATGTCCAGTTTAGCCTACAGAAAGAAACGGGGCTGGTGAAACAAGTCACTTGCTACCTTACTCTAGTATCAAATGCACTGAGCTAAGAAATACATGCCCGGCACTCAGAATTACTTCCTTGATAGGAGATACAAAGTTTTAAACTGTTACATTAATGTAAACTTACACTATTTAAAAACTGGGGAACCAATACAACACTGACTACATCAACTTTCCACTCACCTTGAGTTCCTTTAGGCGGACAACAGAACCAGATTTTCTGAACAAACCCTCAGTATCAACATTCTGCAGAAGATTTTCACAAGCATCTACCAGAAAGCTGGGAAAGAAACAATACATTCAAGACCCACTCTAACAAATACCAAGAGAGATTAAAACTGAGTCCAGTATACATGTATATGGATTTGTCTTAAAAGCAAAAGCAAATATTTAGAATGCAAAAAAAAAAGATCACATGTAAGAAGAAAAATTTTACTCCAAACTATGTACCCATATTTTTAAACGAAGGTTAGAATGTGTGCTTACCGGGGTACTGTCCCATACTCTGCTACACTGCACTGAGGTAAGGATTCAAGAGGCACCCCAAAGATCTTGGCCTTAAAAGAAAGAAATAATTCAACCAACGGATAAATCCATCTTATACATTGGCAGAGCTTCAGACAGAACTGAACTCAGTGAAACCATAAAGCAAATATTTGTTAAAGGTACTGAAGCTTCCAACCTGAAGTGAATCTTAAACATACTAAGCAACAAAAGCACACAAAGATTTTTGCTTTTACTTTAGAAATAAAGTACAAAGATTTTGGCTATCAGCTAAACATTTTGTATGTCTCTTCAGATGGATTTTATAGCATTCGTCATTCTGTAACTTCTATGTTCTTCATCTGATCCAGGGTTAAGCAGGGGAGGGAAAAATACACTTTGGATGGGATGCCAAACTATTGCATGGCATAGACAGACAAACAAGCACCCCTCGCACCATAGCCAATCTTCCCAGAACCCAATTAAACTACCAGTATGTCTTTAGACTATGGGAAGAAATCAGATCACCCAGCAAAAACAAGGAGAACATGCAAAATCCATGCAGATAGCACCCCAGGTCCAGAACTAAACCCAGGGCCCCAGCACTGTGAGGCAGCATTGTTATTCACCGCACCCCTGTGCCTCCCCATTCCAGTGCTCCTTATCAACAAATCAAGGTTTTATGTAATCCAGAGTCCCAGTCTGGGTCCTGGGGACCCACAGACTGCTGGTTTTCATCGCAGTGGAGCTCAGTGGAGTTAAATGAATCCTTAAAGGGGATCTATTTAATTATATTGTTACATTTGGAGGTTATAATGAATAGGCAATGACGAGTGCATATCAAATAACGCCATATTGCCATCATTGTCTGGGATCCAGAACGAGGCAATAAAACTTCTGGTGACACAAAAGCACCATAAGCGGGCCTATTATACTGTAAACATGCTTTAGACCAAGTGACTTTTGCTATCATATTAACTGTAAATATTTTCACAAAACTGACACATACAAGGCAACATGTTTTTTAGATACTTTTAAGTATTGCAGCAAAAGGGCAACCCATTAAAATACGCTCTTCATCATTCATTTTGTTAGGAGACCATGGTACTCATTTGCTTGAGCAAAGTTCACGATTTTACGTAATTCACAATTTGTCAAATTTTGCGATATTGTCAATTAATTTAGTTACTGAGATTTAACAACCTGTCTGAGAAATTGGGACTGCAGCTCCACCTTAATTTGAATCAACAAGCTGCTTGTTTGAAAACTTCTAATTTGTTTTTCTTCTATTCAGACGTTTCAGTTTTTTTGTTTGCAAGCTCCAATAAGTTCAGGAACTAAACACATTGTGTTTAAATCAAAGCTTTTCTTGGGTGTCATATTAATAACTTAACCAAGCATTCAGGTGGAACATAAACCAGCAGGTGTGTGGGCCCAAGGGATCATACATAAGAACTACTGGTGCAGACCAGTCTGAAGGACATCAGAAGGCGTGGCGTGTGACGCAGACAAAAACTGATATCAACTCAACTACAAGGCTTTCCACTGTTCAATCGTGGGACCTTGCCTTCCTGCAGGCTCATCCTGACATGACAATTATGCAGGACAATGCACATCCTCATGCTGTTTGTGTGAAAGCACAGTTCTTATGGGATAAGAATATGAAAGCTATAAGCAGTAGAAGTACATGTCTGTCAAGGCCCTATGGGAGGAATGAGACAGGATCCCATAAAACAGCATCTGCAGCCTGGTGCAAAGCATTTAAAACATACTGACTGTTTGGTAATGGAAATATTATCATCAGCCTGGAAAAATCAACAAGAGTCGCCCTCTAAACAAACATTTCCAGTGCATAGCTGCAAAAATGACCAAGAACACAAGGTGGCACCATTTTAATTATGACATTTCACCTGAACATCTACAAGGACTGCATTCCAGACATCAGCAAAAGAGTCTGTGCATTACTGGTTATTGTAGTTTATACTGCTTTATACCATATGCGGCTGCAGAAATACCAGGAGCAATAATTTAATAGCATCAATACCAATCAATTACAAATAATCAGCATTGTAAGGCAAAATATTAAATTGGACACGCAGCACTGTTAAGGTCAGATGAAATGGTCATTTCTATAGACTTTATGAAATGATGTTCTACCACAAAACAGTGTTCATTTTTAGCTCTGAAGCTCATATTCAGTAGTGGGAGCAAGAGACAATAAACTCCATTTAGGTTGGATCAGTAAATTAGAAACCTCCAGGATGCATAAAGACATTATTGTAGTTGTCAATTATGATAAATTCCAGTGACGCCAAAGAAAAAATGCAGACCTGGCATCACATATCCGCATTTAGAAGAACAACCCACTCTCACCAATTGCATTGAAAAATACATGATGGAAAAATAACAAGGTAATTCTAAAATTTGCCTCCAATGTAAAGCAAAGTAATGAAAATGTTTGATTTGTGAACCATATCCTAAAGAAACTCCAAAATGTTAAGTATACCAAAGTTTACTATCTTACATATTAATCAACTTAATCTTTCTAAATCTTAATAACGGCAAACCCAGTTTGTCATGTTTCATTCCCTAGCGTATATACCTTTGTAAACAGAACTTTAACACTAAACGACTCCACCTTATTCATATTTTCCCCCGCTGAAAGTCTCTGAAACTTCTAAGACATAAGTATCAACTAAATAACCTGTTTCTTACTATTCAACAGCAGTAACAGAACACAATTATGATTTATCTTGACACCGTGATACAACACAGGATGCAGGCTTTCCAGGGGTGTTTTAACACAGGAAGAAAAACAACGTCACCGATTTATTTCTATTGCAATGAATGTATTTCCGCCTGACTTACTCTATGCAGCATCACGTAGCCAGTCTATAGCTTTCAAGGCTATTACTTTTAACAAAAATGGAAAGGGCGGGCTAACAATTTGTTATTTCATCGGTAAACATCTGCTCATGAAATAGCTGACATTCCTTGTGCTGGGTTTGGAAAACGTGAAAGAACACGCCAAGGGGGTGCTTTGTAATAGTGGATGAATCAAAACTGGAAAACGGTCTAGCCGGAACATAAGTTTTGAGAAATGCGACAGTTAATTTTTAATACAGGAGTAAATAGACTCGCCTGGTGCGACATCTGGCTAGCACTCTCTTACGTCGCGTGACCGCAGGCCCGCTTCCTGAAATTTGAAAACTAGTTCCTTTCTTGATCTATGATCAAGGGTTAACCGTGAGCGATTTACACATCCGTGTGTGCTAGAGGAAATGTGAGAGGAATGGTGCTACAGGTATATTGGTGCTATATGGAGTATTTAAAAAAAGATGTTTTTTTTTCCCCAAACAGCACGCTTCAAAGAATAGCAGTCTTTTAAATAACCACGAGTCGCCCTTACACTTTCAATCTTCATACCCCTGTACACATTTAAAATCCATCATGTATTTACAGTGTAAGCGACCGTGAGATTAAGTGCCCGGTTGTACATATTGCTTATTAGAATGCTGACATTATGCTCATTTTAGTGCCAATCTTCATTCATAATGACCAAAACTGCCAATACCAATGACAAAAACTTCAAACTTACCGGGTAGCACGCTGTCACTTTGCTACTGCTGCCTTTGTTTTTATTCCAGTTCTTGATTCTTATTCCGTAAACACGGAGGTGTTGCACAATAGCCAAGCGGATAACATTTCTGTCGTAGAGCCTCATCTTTCGGTACGATAGTGGATTTCGTACAATTCCGCACTTCTGAACGCGTTGAGCCGTTTCTGCTTTTACTTTTCGACAATCTTTCGAAACTAACCGAACCTTTATTCCACTTTGCAAATCTTCCCCTTTTTGTTCTATTCAGATTCTACACCCTTAATTAGATTTGATACAAAATACCATTTGGATCGCCACTTACTCAGCCCTCTCTCACTTACTCAGCCCTCTTTCACATACAATAATCCCTATTCATGTCTACTTGCCTTCACGTATTTCTCTCTTCTCTTCCCACCTCACGCTTCCCTGAATTACAGTAACCCTGTTACATATTCGTCATAGCCTATTATACCAGTATATTACTTTTTTCTAATTTATATATGCATCCTAAGTACAAATCCTTAACTCAACCATCATCCCCCCCCGTCTTGCTCTCTGTAGAAACTATTCAAACGGCAGCACTTTCTGCATTTTCTTCGCTGATTGGCTAGAGCCAGTTCAAATATCAAGACCCCAAGTGCTGTCCTGTTAAAAGCCTGTTTGAAACGTGAAAGGTAACTTGGTTCAAAATTGTGTTCTGTTTGTGCGTCAACCTGTGTTCCAAATATGTATTTGTAAATATCTGTAGACTTTAAAGTTAAAAAACTACGATGATTTGCAAAGACGATACCTAAATGTAACTGTCTCTGTTATCAAAGAGCATCCATAAAATGCAAGAATTTACTGTATATCGAATCAGCTGAAAACACAGTATTATGCCTGAGGGCAGGACTATTGCAGTGGCATGTTTTATTGGCATTCCTGAAGTTGCCCTGGTTAAAAACCATAACTGTAACTAAAACGTCTTTTTTAATTTGTGATAAGCAGCATTAATCTGAAACATCTGTTGGAAACAGTTTAAAAAATCAATCTGCACAAGGTTTTTCTCGGATTCAAACTACAGTTGTACCGATCTGCTCTATGTAGAAGAGAACGTTATGTATTGACTGAAAACAGCTGGACATTCACATTATAGTATCCTAAAAAACAAGTATTTTTGTGATGATTAATTGCAAATAAATTGTTGTGCCTTCATAAATAAGGGTTTGGTCATCTCCTAGGAAAGCCTTAAACTACAGTATATCATATTGATCCATTAATCACAAATAGTTTTCCACTACTTTTCTTTTAAAGAGAACAATATGTTACAGAAAGTTTAACAATGATCTGCATTGGAAACCACTGTTTGCTTCTGATATGTAATTCAGCATTCATGAACTATAATTTCACCAAAGGATGAAAGCAAAGCCTGGTTGCATTTGTGCCTTTTGTTCCTATAGAGATTGGCTATCAATCAGCAGGTTTTCCATAATGTTAGTGACTCTGTTGTGTCTTTCTTGTGATGTACATTCCATTTAAGAATAAAAAGAGACTAAAAAGAAAATATTTTAAAGTAGTCATTATGGTTCAAGATAAAAGAGGAAATAGACCGCAGCTGGAATACTGTTACGAGCATCTATTTTTATTACAACAGTACATGTATATACAGTAAACAGCACAGTACAAATGCAGACAGAGGAGTGGATGGAAGAGGATTTGGATGTTTAGAAGCACTTTCTGTGGACGATGGAGGGGCCAGCTTCATCGTACTCCTGCTTGCTGATCCACATCTGCTGGAAGGTGGACAGAGAGGCCAGGATAGAGCCACCGATCCAGACAGAGTACTTACGCTCAGGGGGAGCAATGATCTATGAGACAAAATGGAAACAGGAATGTTAGAGTAAAAAGCCTAATGAAATAGCTTTTTTAAAAGCCAAAAGAAACCGCAAACAAGGTACAAAACATTTTACTGTAACATTTTGCGAGGGATTAGTTTTCATCTAAACAAAGTCCATGAAGTTGAGAATGGAGAATGTTAACAAGAAGTTAATAGTATAATATAATTTTACCTGCTCTGTATGTTTTATGTTGTTTTTTTTATCATTTCACAACTGTTCTGAATAACCTCTTGTTCATTCAAAAGTGGAAGCACTGCTACTAAATACTGGATGTGCTGCGTCACTGTATTGTGTGTTTCCTTGTCCAGTGATGATCCATTTCATTTGCATTTGATTTCACTCACCTTGATCTTCATGGTGCTGGGGGCCAGAGCTGTGATTTCCTTCTGCATGCGGTCAGCAATACCAGGGTACATGGTGGTGCCACCAGAGAGGACGTTGTTGGCATAGAGGTCCTTGCGGATGTCAATGTCGCACTTCATGATGGAGTTGTAGGCAGTCTCATGGATGCCAGCAGATTCCATACCTGTTGATGAAGAGGGAGATGTGAGATGTTGCTTTCCATTCAAATCTGAAGCTCCTTGCGCTGAAACGTGGTGTGCTTTGTGCTTCAGCTTTGGCACTTGCAGGCTTTATGATTCCAAATTTTAATAGCCTAAGATTCCTCAATAAGAACGTGTCTTGAACTGGTAAGGGTAAAATAAGTAGGCCTTTGGCAAAGGCAATTATCCTATTTAAGGAGCAGAGGAGGCTTACCAATGAAGGAAGGCTGGAAGAGGGTCTCAGGGCAGCGGAAACGCTCGTTGCCGATGGTGATGACCTGACCGTCGGGCAGCTCATAGCTCTTCTCCAGAGAGGAGGAGGAGGCAGCAGTGGCCATCTCGTTCTCAAAGTCCAGGGCCACATAGCACAGCTTCTCCTTGATGTCGCGCACAATCTCACGCTCAGCTAGAAGTGAGAAGGAAGAGGAGTGATGCTCCTGACATCTTCAATCGGCAGTCGGATTTGGATTACTTAAAGGAAACTCCTTTTGAATAGTGTTTATCAGAACTATAATACATTTGGGAATATGGATGCTGTTGTATAAATTCATGTGTTCATTTATTTTAACATAAAGGTTACTGGCTAAAATAGGCTTTTTACTGCCATTAGTTAGGCCACCCTTAAATTAATTTAAAAGAAAGTAGTTTTGGGGTTGTGTTTACCAGTGGTGACGAAGGAGTAGCCTCTCTCAGTCAGGATCTTCATGAGGTAGTCAGTCAGATCCCTGCCAGCCAGGTCCAGACGCATGATGGCATGGGGGAGGGCATAACCCTCATAGATGGGCACGTTGTGGGTCACACCGTCTCCAGAGTCCAGCACAATACCTGCACAGAACACCGAGAATGATCTATGTTTACCCTATAGTGCTCAAACGAAAAAACTGCATTTGATACAACACCATACATGCTGTACATTACTTTGTACACTTGCAAACATACTATTGTTACACGACCGGGCATGTAACAATTCAGTGAAGTAAACTGGCACTGCCATAAATTGTCAGTAATTATTACTATATGCCATTAATTATATTTCATACTATATTTCTTTCTTCTCCCATATTTTAAAGTCTTAATATCTATCACTGTTACATGGTTTAGCCTTTTAATCTTTAAAAATCAATTCCTTTAGCAGGTATAATTTATTCATCACCTATCCATATGTCTCATTATCATTGAAAAACATTTGACTGCATTTACATTTTAATTACTGTTAAAGATACATGATAAAAAAAAACTATTTTTCTACGATTAAGCTGCTAATGATGGGGCTAATATCTTCATATGAGATTGTCCATTGTTTTATTATAAAGGAAACAAAGGCATCGCCTGCAGGTACTGACCAGTGGTACGGCCAGAGGCATACAGGGACAGCACAGCCTGGATAGCCACATACATGGCAGGGACGTTGAAGGTCTCAAACATGATCTGGAAAGGGAAACAAGAAAAGTCTGAGTGTATTTTGAATAGAAACGTCTTCCCGGTTTACTGGAAATAAGAAAAAAAAAGAAAAATTCCAATGTCACTGAACCATTTTAAAGGAATATTTAGAGTAGAGTAGTTCAGTTTTTTGTAATACTTTGAGTTTGCTTGTTCAACAAGGACAATAGCTTTCTGAATGGTTATCCTTTGTTTGCATTATAAATATGTATACATAGTGGAGGTTTGGGTGTTATATTTTGGTGCACAAGATTCTTGTTCACTGACTGTTGTTCATGCACCCTGTCCTAAAACTCTATCCAAAATGATTAATTTAATGATTGGTTAAGACATAACTTAAATGTCAGCAAGCATGCTAGATACTAGATAAAGTCAACAATTCCCCGTTTGTAGAATTATATATCTATTCTTACATAGGACTCATTAAAAAAAGCACAATGAAACTCCTTTAGCAAAGGATTAAACAATAGAATTGCCTTTCTGAGGGTAGTCTGTTCTATGACTGCTGTTCTCCACCGTTCCATTTACCTGGGTCATCTTTTCTCTGTTGGCCTTGGGGTTCAGGGGGGCCTCAGTGAGCAGAGTGGGGTGCTCCTCAGGGGCCACACGCAGCTCATTGTAGAAGGTGTGGTGCCAGATCTGTAGGAGTTAAGAGAGAGACTAAATAAATGACACAATACATCCTTCTTACTTCAGTACATGAAATATAGTGAACATTGTATAGTTAAAGGCATGTTTTGGACAGTTCAAAATTTCTGTAATAAGGTAAAACAGCTAAATTATTTTTTTTAAACTACCACTATTTCTATGCTTGATATAAACCTAAAGTAAATAAAGTTATAAAATTTTAAATACTTTTGAAATTAATGCAAGAACATTTACAAATAATTTTACTTAAAGAGCAAAAAAGCCATTCACGTTTTTGAAAGAGGACAAAAAAGCAGTGTGTAACACACAATTTACACATAAAAAGATCAAAGATGATATGTGGTCAGCCTTGTTGGTGAATTGTTTGTCTTCCAGTTTGCACAGTGTATAGGTGCTTATAAAATAAATGGAATAAGTGCCAAATTAGAATACAGAATTTATATCTGTGTTTATCTCAATGAGCTACAACAAGTTAAAAAAAGAGATCCAGGTCTTCTTAGTGTTAGATGTGTCACTAAATACAGAAGTGTTGTAGCACTGTGAGAGATACATTTTGGATGGCTACCTTCTCCATGTCGTCCCAGTTGGTGATGATGCCGTGCTCAATAGGGTACTTCAGAGTGAGGATACCCCTCTTGCTTTGGGCCTCATCTCCTACGTAGCTGTCCTTCTGACCCATACCGACCATGACACCCTAAGAGAAGCAGAAAGGTGTGAGAATACACTCTAAAATCTGCAGGACTCTCTTCATGCCTGCTATACAGTACATGCCTGCTACTTGCTATCTGTGCTGCTGGCTGAAAGAGAGTTGATTTTTTTTTTTTATTTCAGTGTTCTTGACATTGTTTCCAGTTATTTGCAATGTGAAAATTGTATTATGTTCGTCAAATCATTTCCAAAATCATCTTAAATAATAAAATGCTCCGAGGTTAATCCTGGTTTACAATAATCTAAAATAAACATAACCATAAATAATGCAATTGCAAGGAGGAAACGTTAATAAAACAAGTAAAAGGCAATTAAGATCATATTTAAATATTACTATTTAAAGACAATTATTAAAGAAAGTTTAGCGTTACGATGCGTTGGTAAATAAAGCTAAGTGTAGACGAATAGAGATGAACGCTGTTTGATGAACGGACTGCAGGGGGGGTTGTACCTGGTGGCGGGGCCTTCCAACAATGGAAGGGAAGACAGCACGGGGAGCGTCATCTCCGGCAAATCCAGCCTTGACCAAGCCAGAGCCGTTGTCGCACACAAGGGCGGTGGTCTCCTCGTCGTCACACATGATTAGTCTGTGCTGGGATGGTCTGTCAGGAGGAACAGCGAGGTAAATGGTGGGATTAAGTCTAAATTCTCACAAAAACAGGGCTAATACACAAAAAATGCCCATACGCGAGTCTTCCAGTAAAATTTCACTTTAGTAATTGTTTTCATTGTCATAAAATAATCTCATAATGAAAACGCAAAAGCAACATCTGCTGTAAGTGAGAAGGGTGTGTTAAGTTTAAAAAAAGTTATCTGGTCCACTGTCCATTATATTCACTGTAGTTTGAAATAAACTGTGCTTAAAGGGAAAATAATATATATTTATAATCTGGTAGAATACTTTACAGTATGTCACATTGGTTTAAAATTTACATTTTACGAGACATTTAAAACAACTATCATTTAGTATTATAACACAAATCAATACATTGTGGCAGTTGCTTCTATATATAGCTGTAATGTTTTACTAGACAGTGTATTTATTAAGTCTAGATATTTTTCTTTAAAAACAAGGAAAAAGCTGTTCATTTTGTGGCCATGTTCTTTTTGAGGAATCTCCTTTACAGTTATCTGCTCCTGAATTATATGTTTTGAGAAGCAAACCAATCAATTGTACTTGACAATATCAGATTAAGTTTAGTTTTTAAATAGTTCATTCCCTAAAGATCAATAAGGTATCCCCACCCTGGTTTTCAATGCCAAAAACAGGCATATACAGTAGGACATCCAGTCATCTATTTTAAGACCAGTACTGGTTTTGCAATCCTGTAATTCCAAACTACTCTGTATATAGATCGCCCTCTCTGTAACAATTTCACAGCTGAGAAAGACTGATTCTTTTTAAGTGACACCAGGGCTGGGGTCTTATTCCAGCTGTCCACACAATGTTACACCTCTTGTTAAAGTCAGTATCAGCTTCATTACAAGTTTGTGGAGTTAGGAATGTGTGCATGAGTGATAGGCACAAATATCCTACAAGTTTGCTGAGACCTGAAGCAATCCCTTCCCTCCTTTTCTGCAATTTCTCCCAGTTTTTTTTATTTAGTAATATTGACAAAATGCAAAATAACTTAAACTAATACTGGATTATAGTTGTTTTTGGGTTCTTTCATATTCGAATTGAGGCATGTTGCCATAATTTCTCATTTACTAGTTTTAATTTGAATCCATTGTAAAGTCAACAGAAATTCAGCTGTGCAGTCTTTGGCATTTTTCCTTATTTTTAGCAACCAAGCATTTTAATCAACTTTAAATGAAAATATTCTTGAAGTTTACGAATTCAAGTCTATTTACTTGTTTAATAAATTAAAAAGACCTGAAACAAGCTGTATGAATAATTTCAAGGAGTGTTTTAAGTCTATTGCCTTCCCTCTACTTCACAAATCATCACAGTTCTAACAGTTAATCTTCAGAAATCCTAACCCCCTATTCGAGAGGCTGAGAATGTGCAGTCAATCCTGTCAAGCCATTAAGTATTCCAAAGACACCAGAGGTAGGCACTCACCAAGTTGTATCGCAAGACTGATGCTTCCACTGGGACGAAAGCCTACAGTGAAAGGTGCTCCTTAAATAAGCCTGGAATAGAGGGTCTGGGAGGCGGGCCCAGGAGTTCACACAAGCCCAAATAAGAGCTGCTTAAAAAAAAGGATCCCCCAAGTAAGTGTGTCTGATATGCTGTGACAGGACACCACTAAAATGGAGTGATGCTTCCTCAGAGGTACTAGGCCCCCTGTATAAAACTAAAATTAGGCAGAAAAGTAAACCGACTATATAAAGGACTCTTGATTTATCTGTAATATATGATACGGAGAATTTTGAAATGGTGCAGCCTGTGCCATTCAGAAAATACTTTTGGCTATGCTGACAGAGCTAAGATTATTGACTGAAAATCCTGGCAGTTGCTTAAAGCAGTAAAACTGTGGGGAACAAATATTAATAACATTTATCTAAGTACAATATGCATCTCTGTATAGGACATAACAATGTATTTAATCTAATATATTTTAGCCATCTGAATACCAGCATCATTATGTTACTTTTCAGTTCTACCACAATGTTCCAATTATGTGAGTGATTCTCTAAAACTTAAAACTGATCTTTTTGTTTTAATTACTTTATAGTTAGTTTGGAAGATTGAATGTTTGAACACTGTGATGACATTCATTTTTTATCTCTACAGGATTAATGATTTGGAATAAAAAGCTACCAGCAATATTGAAAAAGAAAATGTACCTATGCCAAAAAAATTTGTAAACAAACACTGCAGTGTCTCATGGTAACTAAATCTGTCATGTGTATAATTTAATATGGATCCGATATATGAAACAAAAGGGTATTATTCAAAAATTTAATAAAATAGTATGCAAATACAAACATGTGACCTGGTAACCTTTGTGCAATTGCTCATGAATCAGTTATGGATTAGAAATACTTCAGTCCTCCTAAATAAATCATATAATGAACTATCCACTGCTCTCTGGTGATGAATTATAAATTAATTTGCAAAAAGATGTAGCAGCAGTGTTTTCTGCATTCATTGAACTAAATGAAGTTAGTTCAGGATGTCGCAGAGATATGACCATCCTGGAAGCTGCTATAACTAAACTTTATGGGGTCTAGTTAAGGAAACATTTAAGAAGCACTCCCTCAGACTCACAGAATACTGTATATGTCAGTGGGGTAGTACGTTGGTATGTGGGACAGAGCCTAAACATGCGAGACAGCTGAAAGAATGCCAGACTGGCCGCCATCGGACTGGCTGAGAGGGACAGCCCTTGGCACAACCAGCAGCCCTGTGATTGGCTCAGCTCTCTCCTTTTAGGGGCATGGAGTGTAACAGGTGTCCTTGACTGTGCATCCAGGGCGGATACGGGGTGCTGAATTTGCTGTTGTGGCTCCTTATAAGTCACACCCCCTTCTTCCCTTATTGTACCCTATGAGGGAATACAGACTGTTTTTTCCTATATAGAGTCTTGGCTCATGAACACAACTTACAGGCCTTCTGACATATTTTAAAACTTCCATTTCTAGCCATGGGCAAGAATGCACCACACCGCTAAGCCGGGGGAGTGGCCCATCAAATTGAAGAACTCTGTGTTGTACATGTCACATTTTAGTAAATGGATTTATTTTCTACTGCTTTCTTAAATATTGTGTCTCACCTATCATTAATGTAAAATTATAAGAACTGTTTCATACTGTTTAGTGTTAGTGCAGCCAATTGGCTGCCTTGTTACAGATTAGTGTCATGCAAATAAAAAAGAGCGCTGGATAGTTACATATTTCAGAAAATAGAAAATATGATGTGAATGTTGAATTCAGCACAGCAAGAATAGAGTTTTGGACTGGTACATGATTTGTCACACTAGAATTAATCTATAATGACAGAGATCTGGGATAACACAAGGAAATGAGTAGATAAATGTATTTACATATATTAAAAAGGATCTTTTCAGTATTTTTTTTCATTTTGTACTGTATAAGAAAACATTCTTATACAGTATTTATTCTACCTGAGCAAACTTCATTATCAAGATTATGAGGCAATATGATTATGAGGCAACATTACTGTGAAGAGGAAATATTCACAGACGTTATTTGTAACCTCCTATTTTAGGAAATCCATCAATGTGTCATGTTTGTTAACTATGGTTTTATCTAAAGTGTTTTCAAATTTGAGATGGAATCCATTCTTGCTAACACTCTGGCATGCTGAAAGACCCGTAGGGGGTTATTTGTTCAACCTGTGTTCTGTCAGGGTATATCACAGGATTATGTGAGAGCATTTTTTACCTCTAAACAGGCCTACTGGATTGTGTCAAGCTTCTATTTTTAGATCTTTTTCACAGTATCAACATAGACAGGTGGGGAATGCAATCCTAAAGGATTCCCTGGTACTGTAATGTTCCACCCAATAGATGCTGACAGTGAGGGAGACAGGACTGACATAATCAGCCACTTATTACAGTGACAGATATGAAATCTGATATAAAAGGTTTTGTTCTTTTTCTTTTGTTTAGACAGATTTCCAAAAAAGTAAGTTAACAGACCATATTCATCGTTTTTAAGTTTAATTAATGTGGTTAGGCTGAAGAAAATGCAATAGGATTTTCATTTCTTCACAAAGTAATGCTGTGAATGCTGAGTCAGGTGAAGAGACCTACAATGTATCTCTTCCAACATAAGCTAGAAATGTGTAATATGATTAAAAATGGTCTGAATGGCCTCTTACATCTCACAAGTAACCTTTGTCACTTTTTATGTTACCATATGCCAAAGTTACCACCCATATTTGTCTGACTACAAATATGTTTCTGATGTGAATGAATCTTATAGGCTACAGCTTACTGTTGAAATCATCCCCCACACAGCATAGTTGTCACAGCATGGTCATAATTAGACATGAAAGTCATGTTAGTTTGTTGAAGGTTGAAGGTTAAACAGTCACCGTAAGTGAAGCAAAGAAATGCTTTTGCTAAGATATTTCAGAATGACGGGTGTTTGAGATAAAGTGTGTGGCCTTGTTGGGGGACCTCCATCCTTATAAGGTTACAGGGGATCACTGAGATGAATGTGCCCTGTGTTTTGGACAGCTGCTGTATGTTTGCCTGTCCACTGTGACTGCAACAAGCCCATTGTCGCAGCTGTTCCTCACAAATGCCTTTCAGCATTCATTATTTTTGTTCACCTTCCTGGGCTGCAAAGATCCCCTGGCCTCAATGCCTGACAAATAATCACCTCCTTCGTTCTCTTTCAGTCTATGACAAACTAAAGGGGGGGGGTTAAGGTTTTGTGAATGATGTAATCAATCACACCTTTTTAATTGTGTATCGAATAATTTGTAATATAGTTTAGTGGCTGTATATTATTGTCAATTATGAACCTTTATATGATTTTTTTAGACTTTAATTTACTTGATTGAGAGATTGGTCATTCTTGTATATATGTATGTTGAAGTACAAAGAGAGAGAAAGGGGGCAAATAGAAAATAAAAAACAGTCAAATTGCTTGTTATACAAGTTTTAATTGTCTACTACTGCATCTTTGTTATTATAACATTACCAAACTTATAAAAAGGTTTTATTACTGAACATTTTACTTTGAGAAGAAGCTTTTGTTAAAAGGGAAAAGCCAGTGATTTAAGTTAATTCCTTGCTATATTCAAATACAGCATAAATTACACAGTAAAACCCCTTGATGACATCCTGAACTGTGTATCTTCTTCTTGGTGCACAAGGAAAGAAAGATTTGTCATCAGCGAACAGGGGTTATACATGACTAAAAATCCAAGTGTAGATCAATGTCTCACTGATATGAACTTGTAGACAAATTATCAAATCTACAACAGCTGGCTATGTAGGAAAAGAGATGTGAAGACTGGTGTATGAAAACATTAAGATAGCGTTTTTTAGGTATTCCAATATGCTAACAATATACAATTATTTTACTTTTTATATATTAAAGATAATAAGAATGGTCATAGTTTTATCTCCATTTAATTGTTTTTAATTGGCTTTTCATTTTTGTGATGAACAAAAGTAATCTTATTCACGAATATAAGATAATAATTAAAACTATTTTCATATGTAACAAAATCTCATTTAATTGGAGAAGGAAATATATGATGTTCACTACATGTCTGCGTTTTATCGTATTTGTAATATGTTCCAAAAATCGACAGACCGTTAAATATTAATATAATGTATAACATACATAGTATATTTTTACGTAATATGTGAAATATAGCGGTAAATATTTAATGTAAAAGGCAGCTTCTCTCACAAGTGTGGGAGGAGTGTTTAGGGCCCTGGATTCCAAACTGGGAGGTTAAGGGTTCAAATGGCGGGTAGGGCACTACTGTTGTACCCAATAAGGTTCTGCAGACAGATTGCTCCACTAAAACACCAAGCTGCATTACTTTAAATTGGTAAAAAAATGTAAAGTAAAAGCGTTACCCACGTAAATTAATAACACATGTCCAGTACTTTAAATTGTACCTCCTTTTCTACCACGTACGAGATTACTCGTAAATTAAAATAAAATTAATTGTAAATGAATGTTTACCAGACGGTAACGTTAGATGCAAACAATTGTGTCTTCTGGAAGTCTGTGTTCATAACCACTTAATCCTGTAATGCATATGATTTTTGAATCAGGGAAGCCGTAATTCACGTTTCACCATTCCCAAGAGCACTCCCGTTTTCAGTATTAAAGTACAAGCACATGCATAATAAACGAATTTGCTAATAATTCTTCCAACATAAATTGTATTCAATTTAAGTAAAAGAACAGGATGCGCATTCACAACGATAACAACACAACATCTTCGCCCCTGCGGCTGAGCGTGATTGCGTTATACCTGCGACAACATGACGTATTCTGTGCGCCAGCATCGGGAAAGTAGTGTTGGCGTTTCGTCTGGCAATTTAAGTTCGTAAAAAGTTTTTCCCTAATTAAAATTTTTAATTTGAAATATTCGCGTGTTTTCGCTGTGCATTTCGTTACTTTAGTGGATTACATGACTTTAAATGGTATATTTAGTAACGCAGTCATCATTTTGAAGAGGGGGTGGGAATGGTTAGTGATGAGTCCTGCAAAGCATAATGAGCTCTTTTCAAAGTGCTGTTGAGCAGCCCGACGACTATTCTGATCAACAGGAAAATGAACTTGAGGCCCTTGCATCCATCTATGGTGATGATTTTGAGGACATCCGGGAAAAAAAGCCCTGGAAGGTAGGTGTACGTGCATACTGGGTTCAATAGTCCGTTTAGCGGAACTACGTACCAGACGTCAGCCAAATACAACTGGCAATAGAGAACCTTTTTTAATGTCCCCGATGAGAGGCTTGTCTGTTGTATTGTTGATATACTTTCATAGTTTAATACCTGCTAACGATAAGCATTGCAATCCCTCCCATTAAATCATGGGACTTAAGTGACCTGTCACATAAATATCAATCGCCAGTTTGCAGAAGTGTTTTTATATTTTGGTGAATACACAGGGCTCAGTAGCTTAGTCATGTTACTCAGCATCCTCTCGAGAAAAATGTATAGACGCTAAACGTGTAACCTAGTGCAACTCTGATATCGCATACTGTTGATTTGTTCTTACTGTTCACATTTCTTTGGATAGGTAATGTTACAAAAATGCGTTGCCACATCACAGGGAATTTGAGAATGGTGAATGGTGTTTGTTCAGTGTAAAATCCCCTCCAGAGATTTCCCACTAGTTTATTTCTGGAAGTACTGCAGGAATTACACTGTAGTTCCTCTATTGCTCTAAACAATCACATCAGTTTTCACAATTGAGGTGTCCGAGATGTAAGATCCTAGCTTGAAATGTTGTCTTATAGTTTATTTTATGTTTTTAAATGTATTTAGGTTAACCGCCCCCCAGAAGTGTATTTATACCTACGTCCCAAGGGTCTGAGCTCTCGACAAGAGATTTATGTGACAGTGGATCTACAGGTTAAATGCCCACCTAAGTACCCTGATGTGTAAGTAATAAAGGATAATGATGGACTAAATGTTGATGTAATTGAAAAAAATCAGAAGTTACATCTCATATACCACTCTTTTCATCTTATGTTTTAATGTTTTTGTCCTATCTTGAGAAAGAATGCAGAAACAGGAACCTGATGCTGTATTGTGAAAAGAAAATTTCTTAAACAGCAGTTTTGTATGGAGAAAAAGACCACAATTACTCCAAGGCTATGTGAGAGACTGATGAATTCTTACAGGAAACTTTTATTTTAAGTTATTACTGTTAAAGGGGGTTCCAGACCTTACTGAATGCAGAGTGCACTTACTTTTTAGATAGATAGATAATCCTTTATTAATTTCACACAAGGCTTCTGAGTGTTGACTGATTTTTTTCCTTAATAAAAAATGAAAAGTAAAATTTGTGTGTTATTTACACATGAGGTTAGATTTATCTACCATTAGGACTTGGTGAGGTCTAGGTGAAGGTCAGATATGTCTTAATATGTAAGACCATAGAGTCTTAGGAGGGTGTACAATACTTTCTCTTTCACATTACTGTATTGAATGTCATACTAATACGTCCATACGAATGTATATCAAACACCAATCAGTTGGACAAAAAATTGCCCCAGCTGAAACAGTTTAAAAACTGATGGTTTGATATTTTGCCTTGTATTTTTAAACCTGCGTGTATTTTAATGGACAGTGAGTTGGAGTAGAATTATGATTTTATATTATTTTTTTCAAAAACATTTTGTTACCCACCCTGTAAAGTAGTCTTTATTATTATTTCATGCTTCCTAAAATTCAGGAGCTGTTTTTTATTATATGGTATTTTTAAGTAATTCTGTTTTATTTTATTGTCTGATGTGGTAAAATAAAGATTAGTATACCCACTTTTGTTTTTAAAAGCCAGTTCTGATTCAGCTTTCCTCTTTTGGGCTTCAGACCTCCAGAACTTGAACTGAAGAATGCCAAAGGGCTCTCGAATGAAAATCTTCAGAACCTCCAGACTGAACTCAGTAATCTGGCTGCAGACCTCTGTGGCGAGGTAGAACAGTAAACCTTTGTAAAACCAGCCTCCAGGCTTTTAAAGTAATACAGAAACTATGGTTTTCAGATTTTTTTCAATTTTTGAACATTGCAAAATAGTCATCTTTGATTATTTTTTACCTTTTCTCTATTTTAAGGAAGTGAATACTTTTGTTATTGCTGTGTATCAAATTAATATTTATAATTATAAAAATGTTTTTGATCAAAAACACTATGTTGAACGGATTGATGGGTTACAAGTAAAATGATTGGTTGCATCTGTTGATTGGTCTATTTTTCAGTTTCAAAACTTTTTTTCTGGAATAGGTAATGAGATAATCTAAAATAATCTTCATAGAGCTGACTAAGATGTGTATTTAGACTATTTTCAACTAAATAACTGGAAGTAAAAAAAGCCTTTTAAGTAAGTGAACTCTTAAGGCGTTCAGGGTATCATTCTGTGCATTTAGCACCTGTTGCAGAACCAGATTGTGTTTTCAAGAGTTCCCACGTGATTGGGTTCTAAAACTCCTATTACGTTTATTACCTGGCACTGCTCCTCTTGTGTCCTATAGGTTATGATATTCCAGCTGGCAGAACATGTGCAATCATTCCTCAGCGAACACAATGTTCCACCACCCAAGTCCTTCCATGAGGAGATGCTGAAGAACCAGCAGCGGCAGCAGGAGAAACAGGCCCAGGAGGAACAAAAGAGGATCGATCAGCAGAGGAAACAAGCAGAGCAGATGGTCAGGCTCAAACTGTCGCATTCTTTGTTGGGTCCTTTCTGTATGATCAGCACTGAAAACAAAACATTTTGCTCCAGCCACAGAGAAAACCCATCAAACTATTTTTTCTTTGCTGCAGCATCCGTTTATTAGTAATGTTATTCCTTAGCAGTCCTCTCAATGGAAGTAGCTTTTACAGACTCCATGGTCTAGTGCAAATGACAGTGATGAAGCTGGAAACCAATATTAAATATTTTCAGTATGCATATCTGTCTCTTTAGTTTTACGAATAAAATAGAATTTCAGTGTTGTTGGCATATACAGTACACATAGTGGACAAAAAATGGAAACACCAATGTAAAGCCACTGATTAGGACATTTGGATTCCATGTGAGGCCGATAGGCCTGTATGCCTTCTGGCCTGCAGTCTACCAACATCTGCAATTCTGCAGGAGGGACACAACTTTTTCCATTATTTTTAATGAAGCTGGCTCTTCATTTCCCAGGTTGAAATTTGCTTAGAGTTCCACGCTGACACCACTGTAGACCCGGTAGCTCATTAAACATTTGTAAATTCCCTTTTCTTGGTCAGTGAAGCTCCTGCTTACCATTCCTTATCAGTCGCCCCTCTTTTAAAGTCATTAAGGTCTCCTATTGCAATCTTGTTGCCCATTTTTGTAGGCAAACAGGCCTGTTCAGCATTTTGGTCCATGACCCTAATCGTGCTAGGATGTTATTTGCTTAATTAAGACATGTGCAACACCTGTGTGAAAGCCCTTGCTTTCACTATTTTTGGGTGTCCCTCATTTACCACCCGTTTTGCAAGCTTTTGTCCACTGGCTGTATGTGACTGTGCAGGTTTACATGCCAGAAAATAATGTATAGAAAGTCTTATTTGTTTACATATGAATACACTTAGAGAACTAACTAGCAGTATTTGTGAGTTGGAAACAATGGTTAATTTAATTAATTTAATTGTTCCTTTTCCACTACAGATCTAGTGATCTAAATAATGATTAAGTGCACTAACATTTCTTAGTGTTGAGAAACTCCTGAGGTGATTTTAAGGTAATCTTGAAATAAGATTAAAGTTAGGAAGGTAAAAAAATAACCAATATGCAAGATGGTCAGATGAGACTGACTGATAGAAGCACATGTGGCCAACAGAAATGACCAAAAGTCTATTGCTTGTTTAAATTTTGCAAAGATTAAATGTCTGTACAATTTCATTGCTCTCTCAGCAAAATGAGATCCTTGCAGAGATCCAGAGAAGAGAAGAGGAGAAGAGAGAAGAAAAGAAGAGGAAAGAAATCGCCAAACAGGTTCTGAGATTAATTTCAAATTAATTCATTTCATTCTACTTAATGTATGTGGGTCTTTTTTATGTAGTCTAGTTATTATTCCTGTTGCATTCAATAGAAGGAAAAACAACTACATTTTATTAAGGATTACTGTTTCTTTTTGGTTAATCTATGTGGAATTGGTTCAAAACAATGTTCACTGTAGGATATTTACCTCTTCATTGAAAATCTATGCCCTCATTACTCACTGCAAGTGATCTCAGAAGAGCAGAGTTAATGCATACAAAATATTTTGGGGGGATTAATTGAAGAGGGGTGATCAGTGAAAAATAAAATGTAGCCGTCAGAAAATAATGCCGGACTCCTTGTCTGCTTTCAAGATGGAAATCGATTAAGGTTCTATCAGCTGTATTTTAGCTGAAGTTCCTGTCAGTTCATGTCAGTGCCTCAGCAAATTTTAAATCTTATACTAGAGTTTCTCTGAGCATCAAAGAATGAAAGAATGAGGCTTCATCATCAAAATTGAGAAGAGCATATTTCTAAAGAGAAGAATGAGGAAGTTTAACAGCAGATCTATTTTTTCTTAATGGGAAATGATTTACAGGGCTAGACAAGTATGGTATTTTGAGCTACAGTACACACAGCTTTGTGTCTATGCCTATAAATTAAGAGCTATGAATTAAACTCATCTTCCAAAGTTACACAACAGCTATTTAAACAAGACTTAATTATGAAATAATTGGAAATTATGTAAGACACTGCAAATATTGATTTGGCACTGAAATTTAATTGGAGAATAACACCTTGAATATGGTTGTGCCAAATGCTTTCTGAAATCCATGTGTAATTCTGACCTAACAGGAGCGTTTAGAAAGTGTGGCTCTGGCCAGTCCAGAGAGCCCTATCTCAGGGAAGATTCCCCCCAGTTTCTGTGGATCCACTGTAGAGCAGATAGATGCCAAAAGAGGGAACAATCGAAAACGAACCAATTCCAATGGGCGCAGCAGGTATGTGGTCTTCAGCTCTTTGTGTCCCTTAAGCTGGTTTCACTGGATATATCTAAAGTATCAATTGTATGGATATATTTACTAATATCATTAAACGCTGGTTTTCAAATTGCTGAGGGGTGTCATTGGTAAGAATACAATAATCACTGGTATTGCAGCTGACATAGTAAATAAAGTTATATATTGGGCCTGAATGATTCTAAAGAGTGCTGGGTGCCATATATTGATAAAGAGCAAGCAGCAGGGTTTTTGAGTGGCTTAGAGTTTAGGGTGCTTGCTTGAAGTGTGAGTTGAGCCCTGCAGTGCAGACATTGTTTGAGTCTGGTCATCATTAATAGTTGATGGCCAATGGATTCAAGACGTGGCACACAATACATGAGTACTAACAAAACTTTAAAATGTGGTCAAGTTCTTAAACATTTGTATCAACAACTGCAGCTTCAAATATTTTTCTAGCCAGAAACAAAGTGTTTAAAGGTGCTGCATGCTGCTCGTTAGAAAGATACGCCTGTTTTTAAGTTGCCATTATTTCTGTTTGTAGGCGTGATCAACAGTATTCCTCAGGTAGCAGTGATGACAGCCCCAGACCACTTGAAGTGTTGTACTTTAGTAATGGAGCTTTGGGAGACTTTACTGTCCATAGAGGGAAATGTATTGGTAAGGCCTGTCAGAAATATATTCATGCATTACTTTGTCATTTTAGAGTTTAGCTTTGTGATTTATTCTAAACCAGTTGAGCATCAGAATGATATTATTATTCCCTATGCTTTTAAAAACTAATTTCTGTAGCAAGAAGACCATTAAGACCGTTAAAGTAAATATTAGGTAAGAGATCAAGTTGTAGATTGCAATTATAAAGGGTAGTTAAACAGTTTGACACTAGTAAAATCAATTACAGAAGGTAAGAACTTTTCCAGAAAGGCTTGTTCCCCATGTTTAAGTTTGAGCAAATATAACAACTCCATGTATGGTTTTAGAGATGAATTGATAAAACGTAATTGTCCTGAGAGGACATGGAAAACCCAGTGTGTGCACTTGTAAAGCAAAGTCTTTATTTTATCTTGTCTTTTTATTACATTCTCTTTGTTTAAAAAGCTTTCTGTTGAAAACATTATATGCCTTCTGGAACTGTCTTTGTGAAGGTTTCATAACTACATTTGCCTGACTACATTTGCATTTTTCCTTAAACTTAAACCAGTACTTTGAAATCCTGTGATTTTTCAGCTGAAACATATAAAAGAACGAAACTCCTTTAGACAGTTCTTCTGTTACCATTTACTTTTACTTTCATGGTGTTGTTTTAACTGCACAATAAGTCATTAAGGAAACAGTCTTCTCCAATAAGGTAAAACCCTCTAAAGAAGTGTTCACTCATGTGTGCTTAATCATTAATGGATTGCTTGGAGTCTATGTAATGTACAGTTCTGCTTAATAGTACGTTTCTTATGAAGTAACACTTGTGTGGCATTTTGTTGCTATCCTAGGAGAGAGTGTGAAGTTGGGTCGCAGTGTGTACTATGCCTTAGAGTCCAGTTCGGGGGATTTTGCAGTTGTGTACGAGTGGATTCTGAGGTGGAGTAAGAAGATTGGAAAGTTTTTCACGAGCCAAGAAACAGATAAAATAGAAAAGTGTAAAAAGCAGGTAAATAGTAGATGCTTAAGTCACATTTTCAAACTGTGTTGCAACTATGTTGGGGGTAGACAACTTTCTGAGATGGAATGGAAATCTTAATCAAACGTGGCAGCTGATTACTTGAGTTGCCTGCTCTTGTCCTAAGTGCTAGGTTCCTTAACATGTTTTAAAGGATGCCCCCATTGGGATTCAAAATGGAGAAAGCATGTATGACCACGTAAAGAGGTGTGATGGTCCAAATATCTCTCTGACATTTTTCACTCTCTTAATTTATTGCAGTCTGCATCCTTTTAAGAGATGGTGCTAATTCTTCTTTGCATATCACCAGTTCGTGTTATTACAGTCCTTTTCTTATAGTATCAGGAAGGCCAAGCTCTACGTTTCTTTTGCTATGAGGAAAATCACACAAATCACAAACTCTTGTTTTTGGGGAGATGTCTATGGAAATATCCACATCTCTATCAGAGCTCAGAATTTGGCAAGGAATGACTGATTTATTGTTTTATCTCAGTTGTATTGTATTATTATATTATCTCAGTGTTGCAATTTCTGAAGTTATCTAGTGTTCTTAAAGGGATTATAGGTATGATTATTATTTATACTCGTTTTTCAAATATGGTACTTCCTTTGTAGTATTAAATTGTGCAGGGTTTCAGAAAGTGAAAATAGTGTTTTAACTCCACAGATCCAAGGAGCAGAATGCGAACTGAACTCTTTGCTGAAGCTTGACCACCCCAACCTTGTGCATTATACTGCCTTGAACCACAGGGAGCAGGAGGACTGCATTGTTGTCGACCTCTTAGTGGAGCATGTCAGTGGGTCCAACCTTTCCCAGAATCTCAGCACTCCACTTTCAATCGACAAAATATGCCACTATGCCTCCCAGCTCCTCAGCGCCCTTGATTATCTCCACAGTAACTCTGTCGTGCACAAACTGTTGTCCGCCTCCAGTGTCCTGGTGGACGGAGCAGGTAATGTCAGACTCACAGACTACAGTATCTCCAAACGTTTGGCTGACATCTGCAAGGAGGACATCTTTGAGCAGCCTAGGGTGCGCTTTTGTGAAGACACTTTGCCAAGCAAGACTGGAAAGAAAGGAGATGTGTGGAGCCTAGGCCTGCTCCTGCTTGCTCTGAGCCAGGGAAAAGAAGTCAAGGAGTATCCAGTGTCTATCCCTAGCAGCTTACCCAGTGAATTCCAAGATTTTCTCAACAAGTAAGAACCTGAGTTTTGTGGTCCTTGTGATCTTCCACAATTTGGGCTGAAAGAGCGAGGCTATATAATACCAAATGGTTTGGTAAATCATACCAGTGGTTTTCTTAGTAGTCTCAAGCTGAACATGACCATGTGGTTTACTAAACTTATTTTTCTTATATGACATGTTTCCTTATAACACAATAAAGCCGCATTCACTAGGATACGTATATTTCAAATGATCATCCAGTAAACATAGATGTGGGTGTCCTGAAATATGATGTATTAGAACATCTGTAAAAGTACGGCTTCATCACAGATTCATGTTTATCGAAAATATCATAAATCATTTTGTATATTCTGTATATTTATTTCAGATCCTCCATTTTTCTGGAATTCCTTAATTGCAGAAATCAATGTAGAATTAATGTGTAGTTGGAGTATTGCATCTATAAAAAAGTATAATATATGATTTATATAGTGCAGTGCGTGGGGTATCTTTGATGATGCCAGTTCTATACTTAAATAAATTTATGAGCCTCATATTCTAATCATAGCATTGTCTGTGTAGGTGTATTTGTATGAATGATGCTGAGCGCTGGAACACTCAGCAGCTTCTTAAGCACTCATTCATCAATCCGCCTTTGGTGAAAACACCCATACAAGGCAATGAAGACAGCCCTGAAGGTAGGTTTTTTTTGTCATTTACAGGTCATTTTCCTTATAGGGAAGTTTTTTAACAAAATAGAATACAATTTAATACAATTTCTGGTGGGAGAAAGAATTGATTTGGTTTAATTAAAGTGCACAATTCCAATTAGTACAGGATCACTTTTTATTATATACATTTAACAATATCTTCAAACTATTTGCAAATACTGTATTAGTGTAGAGGCACGCATTTATTGTCCTGATGTTCGTAGTTGATTGAACCAGAGGGTGACTAGGCATGAAAAAAATGACTTTTTCTTACTGTGTTTTTGACATAAAAGTGTTCTCTTTGATGCAAGTTAATCAAACTCCTTTTTCCTTTTCATAGACACAGGAGTAGACTTTGCCTCAACGGTTATTCCTTACAGCCACATCCTCAATGCCCCTTTCAGCACAGAAATACAGAAACAGTTTTCACGGTATTTTAATGAGTTTGAGGAGCTCCAGCTTCTAGGAAAAGGTGCATTTGGTGCTGTAATAAAGGTAAATGAGAGAACAGTGCAATCTGCAATCCACAGTGCTGTTTTCATGTGTGTTAACACAGCTTCTTGTTATGTTATGTTGTATTTCAACTTGTTTTGCACAAGCTTGTTTTTAATACCAACTATACTCAGTCGAAAAAGTAAATGTACTGATAACCTTTTATAATATGTAAGATCTTTTACACTTTAAGTCAGCTTGAATGAAAACGCATGTAATCATATTGTGTGTTCAATGTTGTTCCCTGACTGAATGTTATTATTTGTACATCAGCTGAAAAAGAAAAAAAAACAAGACTTCAACAGTTACATTTCATATTCCATCCCATACAGAATCCCTTGTTTTGCCTAGCCTGTACTTTAAAGAGATTAACTAGAATATGATTATAGTAGAATTATTATGTATACTTGCCTGGGAGAAAATTCTTAAGTGAAAAACATGTGTTAAAAACATCATTTAGCCATGTGTAAGAAAAACACTGTGGTTGCACAAATAGAATAACCCTAAGCCTCATGCATAAGAAGAATTGCATCAAAAGATCTGTGGGAAAATAGCATTTCAACATCAACTTCAACATCTAAAGAAGGATCCAATCAGAAAAAAATACTGAAACTTTGTAGTGTAGCAATGTTGTTGCAGCTGTTCTGTTGAAATATGTCTAGGAAGTAAACTTCTCTCTTTCTTTTGCTCTCTTTGTCTCCCTCTGTTGGCAGGTTCAGAACAAGCTTGATGGTTGTTACTATGCCGTGAAACGGATTCAGGTGAACCCGGCTAGTAAGCAGTTCCGCAGGATAAAAGGGGAAGTCACACTGCTTTCTCGGCTTAACCATGAAAATATTGTGCGGTACTACAATGCCTGGATTGAGAAGCATGAAATGCCCTCAACTGGGGTCCTGAGCAATGACAGCTCTGAGCCCAAGAGCTCCCCAGTGACGCCTCCGAGGGCCCGAGTGAATGAGCTTGGCATGGTGGATGATGTAGAAGACAACGCGCCACCTCCGGCTTTGGCTAGCTCTGTGGAGTGGAGCACCTCCCTGGAGAGGTCTTCCAGTGCCAAGTGCGGTGGGGGGGATGAGGAGTCGAGCGATGACGAAGAGGAGGATGAAGACGTTTTTTGTCCGTCATTTCTGTATGTGCCCCATCTCAGAACTGTAGTTCACAAATGCTGCAGATCTGGGTCTACAAATGAATTCCTTTCTCTAGTAACACTGGTGACAGTATTTTCCTCTAAATGCTGTTGCTGCAGTGGATCTGGACTTGTCTTCAGTGAGATCCATAGGGCACAGGAGTCATTTCTGAGTTAGGTCTAGTTTGGATTTAGAATTAACATATAACATCTAACTTTTATTGATTAGAAATTGTACAGAGGTGTACAGGCTGGAGGAATGAGGACACCATTAATGTGCCATATTCCATTCTAGCTGTCAGATATATTTCTGTGTTATATTTCATCCAGGTTCCAATGAGATTTAATCAGTAAAGGCATTCTGCATTCCAAACTGTATTGATAGATTTAAGAAGTGGAATGTATCTACTTGTAAATTGGAGAGAGACCGTTATATTTTGTCTTGAGTTGTAACTGTGTGAAGGGTGAGACTGTATTCCAAATGTGGAAAGCGGGCTTGTGTACTGTAGGAATACACTTTGAATTTTTGCATTTATGACATTTTGAAATGTCATAACGATCAAATTAAAAACAGTAAATGGCACACATTATTGACCTGCATTGAAACATGCCTTTGTTTCAGGCCAACAAACAGCGACTCAGAAAGTGACATAATTTTCGAAAATGGCGACGGCAGTAGAGACAGTTTTACAGAGGTTAGTGTCTTGTACATGAATCCTCTGTTCTCATTTACTCTGCTTATATAAAAGTTAAAAAAAGGTCTCTAATGATGGAATGTTGTAATTCTTTTAGGAAGAAGGGAGTAAAAGGAAAACAGTGGAGACTACTGGGAGCAATGAACTGGAGAGGCCTGTCCTGACAGCTCATTATCTGTATATTCAGGTTAGATGCATTAAGCAAACTTTCTATTGGAACAAGAAGAAATCAGCCTTTATATAAGTTGGATCGCACAAATATAATACACTTGCAGAACCTACAAATTATATAAGTTATTAACATTACACACAAGAAAGATTGTTTATATTTTGAGTTCAAAACTTTGTAGTGCAGTATGGGTGCCTCTGGTAGTGTGGGTGCCTCTGGTAGTGTGCTGGAAAGTAGTATCAAAAATGTGATGTGGAATTCAGCCCTTACATCTGAGTTGCTATAGGAATGCTAGTTCATGTATTCACCTTGATGGGGATTCTTGTATCTTCATACATTTTTGCTTGTGAATCTTTACAGGGTGGTGTGGAGCTTAGCACTTGTACTTAGAAAATGGATGAGTGGATATTATTTTGAAGGAAACATGCAAATGCACAGTATACTTACAATGCCCATTCCAAAGAAAACTATTAAGAAAAATCTGGTATTCAGAATACTGTAAATTTAGAGATCAGTTCATCACAAAACCTGGTTAAATATTGTATATTTTTTATGTTAAAATATGAAACTACTGTATATAAGTTCAATGGTAGCAAAGGTAACATTTATGCATACCAATATGTTACATTTCTGTGGTCTGTGCCCACACAATGATTGAAACGGTTAAAGTTGAGGAAGAAATTAAACGTACACTTTTTTCTTTATTTGTCAATTTTCTGTCCCATCAAGATGGAATACTGTGAAAAAAGCACTTTAAGAGATACCATTGACAGAGCCTTGTACCAGGACTCCAACCGTCTCTGGAGGCTTTTCAGAGAAATTCTGGATGGACTGGCGTACATCCATGAGCAGGTCAGTGGCATCCGGTTCTCAGGCGCCTGTAAACCCATCACTCTCCTCCTCTTAAACGTGTTTCACGTTAAATTTCAAATCTTCAACCAAAGACTAAATTGTTTGACATCAGCTTTTGGGTGTAGTCTAGTGATGGATGTTTCATCATGTCAAACCAAAACAAATTCATGTAACAGGAGCCAAAAGGAGATAAGACCATAATACAAAGAGCTGAGAAGAATGGAACTTGCATGTCAGGCCTGGTTACGAAGAAACGGTGCAGGAGATTCGCAGGAGGACAGGCGGCCTGGTGGGGTTCCGAAAAGGATAATAATGGCATGCAACATCCAGCATTTTCCAACTGCAGAAAACAATCCCCTGTAGCTGTAAATATACTCCATGAGCGATAGAAACAAAACGGAAATTAGTGTTGTAATTAAACTCCACAAAATAAACTATCTGCTGTCCTTTCGCAAGAGCTTAGAAACCCAAGGAGATTTACAGTGTTGTTCTGGGTTGTTATTAGTGGCTTTTTCATCAGTAACATCTGCTTTTTCCTGTTGATTAGCATTGTACTTTTTATATAAAGTGTTGTTGCATGTTATGTAGTTCTTTGCTGTTGGTAAATGAGTTGGTAATGCTGCTTTTTAGAATGTTTTTTTATTCATTCAGTGCCATTTAAAATAATGTTCAATAAAGTTCCCTCATTTAAGCAGGTGATGCCACAAAATAACAGCCACAGGACACATAGCAAAGAGTATAGAATACAAGTGAAGAGAGGTGATACAGCAACAGTGCAATGCTGTAATTAGACCACTGGAGTGTTGCATGCAGTCCTGGTCTTCATATTACAAAAGGATAAAACGCATTTGATAATGAGAACAGTCATTCCATGTCTGTAGGGGAAGAGTTTTGAAGACAGACTGAAAGAGCTCAAGATCTTTAAATTAAGGGGAGATTTCATTGATCAACCTGAATGGTAATTTTGAAATTATGTTGAAACTCACAGTATTTTACAGTGTTGCACTGGTGCCAGAATATACTTCTTAACAGACCTGCCAGTGATTGTGTTGGTATATATTTTGATACCTTAAAAAACTAAGCTTGATACTATAAAATAATTTGATGGAGTGAATGGATGCCAGACTTATTTTTCTGTGTTCCTACTGTGAAAATGCAGAAGGTGAAGTTTTAACTTTCACCTTCTTTAAAACTAAGTTTTAATTTCAGTCAGTTTAATATTATTTTTTCTTATGTTACTTTCAAAGGGAATGATTCATAGAGATCTGAAGCCTGTGAACATCTTCTTAGATTCCAATGACCATGTGAAAATAGGAGACTTTGGACTGGCTACAGATCATCCAGCTAATGTGGTATGGTTTGGTTTACTTTTGGTTTGATTGACTTTTATGCATTACTACATTTTTGCTGTATCCGGTTTTTAGTGAAAGCATTTCATTGCATTTTCACTTGTAGGCTGCAGACAGACTAGAGATAGAAGAGAGTGGGTCAGCATCAATACCTAAGCAAGATCCAACAGGTAGGTCTATATTAAATGACCTTTTATTTATTGATGTTGACTATCCTGGAATATGTCATATGATGACATATTGTATTTGCAGTTAAATGTTCTTTAAATGTTGTTTCCTGGCAAAAAAGTCCCTCAAAGCAAAGAACAGATTGTGAAACTGCCCTGCAAAAAGTTGGAAAAAACTTGCCGTATTCAGAAATCTGTGGCTGTGAGTTATTTCACAGAAAAACGCATCAAACCACTCTCTGTTCCAGAATCTGAGTAAGCTGTGATGATTTGAATTGGGTAGGGTTTTTAAGAGTCAGATGACTGTGTCTTTTTTTAATGTTTCTGCAAGTACTCTGTATTAAACATAGAATACTTTTTTATTTATTTGTGGTTCTTGCATTGAGCTGCCTTCATGTCAGTGCAAGGTCAGTATTATTTTACACTGTCGCTAAATCCTTTAACCCTCACAGGCTGCATTAGTCTGTGAGTCACCTTCATCATAATATAATAATGACGCAATCTTTCTATTAATAATAAGCCATTTCAACCTTTCAGACAATATGACTGGTATGGTCGGCACTGCCTTATATGTCAGTCCAGAGGTCCAAGGAAATACCAAAGCTACATACAATCAGGTAAAACACTGGCACATCACTTATCCTTTTTGTGGAGGTTATATGGCATTTGCTTTAGATATCATACTCCCAGATTTCCTTTACTGTATTCCTTAGCAGTTATGTCTTTCGGGCGTTGTCCTGTTCATTTTCTGATTTAATTTGCTTTTTGGTACAGTAAATGTAGTTTTCGTGTTGAAAATTGTGGTCATATGACTTGGTTTCACAGTGCTGGATTTGGCCACTTAAATACTGTATTTCTTGATTATATTGTCATGACCGGTGCTGCCACCCTGGATCTGGGGCGATGCTGAAGAGCCAGGGAAAGTCCAGGGAGAGTGGCCGGCTCACTGCACGTTGGGCACTGAGTAGTGGCTGGGCACAGTGCAGCGCCAGCCTTGAGGGCGAGCTGTCCACTTAAGTCCGCCTACCAGAAACTGGAAACGGGCCGCTGGGGTTTTGCTCTCTTCTGCCCCGGAGTGGATTCCTGCGGCCAGCCTCCTGGAGAAAAGGTGGCTACACGGAGGGGGCGGACAGGTCGCTGAAGCGGCCTGGGGTGCAGGCAGGCAGACTGGAGGACTGTAGTGCAGGAAGGGTAGCACAGGGAAAGCTGGTGAAGAAGGGGGTGAGAGGTCTAGAGGGCTTCACAGAGTGGAGGGGTCCGATCTTCTGGATCGGGCAGGGTGGTCCATCCGGAGGGCACCAGGAGACGGGATGATTCAAGGTACACTTGCTTGAGCAGGGGGTCTCCGTCCAAAGACCAGGCCAGGCGTGCGCTGTTGGCGATGTAATGCATTGCTCCCAGATTTAGATTTTGTAATATTGTTTTATTTGTAGACAAGTCAAGTAACTGAGAGAGAGTACATATAAAATGCTGTCTCATCCCTCAGAAAGTGGACTTGTTCAGTCTGGGAATTATCCTGTTTGAGATGTCATACCGCCCCATGACTACTGGCTCAGAGCGCATCTCTGTACTTAGCCAGCTACGTCTGGTGAGTTCAACCCCAGCTTTTTGTGACAATTTCTGTAATAGATTTAAAATTTATTTCATTCCTAACAAAGCTGACAATGTTTTCTGTTTGAATAGCCATTCATTGTGTTTCCAGAGGACTTTGATGAAGTTAAAAATGCAAGACAGGTAAGCATTTGTTGAATGGCAATTCACAAATTGTTGATGTTGCACTTGGAACCAGGATTTTATCTGACAATTTAAAAATAAATATAGGAAAAGGGTTTGAAATTATTCAATCTCAAAAGGGGACTATCTTGTTACAGTTAATAATAACTACAAGCCCTGAAAGAAAATGGGACAAATCAGATTTGTTGTGTTTCTTGTTTTTCTGTCTAAGCACGAGTAAAATTGTTTATGCAGTGCAAAATTGAAGCGAGTGTATTTTCCTGATTTCACATAGTCTCTTCAATATCCTTTTTGATTTATTATAATAATAATACTTATTTAAAATAAAAAATAAACGTATTTTATATAGTGTCTTTAAAAGTGGCTTCTCATAGTACTTTATAGAAAGATAGAAATACACTGAGTGGAGCCAGTGAAATTACACACTACAGTAGGAAAGCAAAGGGGCAGACATAGAACCAGTCAATTAAAAGGACTTCTAAAGAAGAAGGTTTTGAGACTTGATTTGAAAAAGCTCAGGCAAGGTGACTCTCTGATATCCTTAGAAATAGAAATCCAGAGCTTTGGGGCAGAACAAAAGACAGCCCTGTCACCCATGGAGTGGAACAGACATGAAACCAGAATTAGACAAACAAAGATTGAGAAGCAGGGAGAAGGACGGTAATAACTCAGATCATGAGGTGCCAAGCCATGCAGAGCCTTGTAGGTCACCATGAGGATTGGGAACTCAACACAAAACCTTTTGGGAAGCCAGTGCAAGATCTCTAGAATAGGAGTAATGTGATCACTTGCACTAGACCAGGTCAGGGTTCTGGCTGGTTGTTCAATGTGGATTTAGATACCGCAGCAAATAGGGTGTTACAGTAATCAATTCGAGAGGAGACGAAGGTGTAGACTAGCTTCTCAACAACGGTTAGTGACAACATAGTGTGTAGTCTACCATATTTCTGAGGTGGAAGAATGATTTCACTGTTCAGTGCCATTGAGTGGTTATAATAGGTGTAACTTTCAGTAGTTCAATATTTTATTACCATAATAATTAATTAATAGTTAATAATAACTAAAGACATTTCATTTTTTTCCAGTTCTCTTTAGAGCCATATATTTCTTCCTTGTTCAACAATTTGTTTTCATTAATGTATAATATCTCTGTATAGCACCAATTGCTTTCATCAAGGCAAGTTTTATTAACTTATCTCCTGTTTTGAAATTAAATTTCTCCCAGGGGGTATTAAAGCTTGAACCAAATTGAATTATAGCTGACGTTTCTGCCCTGTTACTCAGATGTATTTTTGGGGGGTTTCTTCACAGAAGGTGGTAATCCAGTGGCTGCTGAATCATGACCCAGCCCTGCGGCCTACTGCTGTGGAGCTTCTCAAAAGCGACCACCTGCCCCCTCCTCAGATGGAGGAGTCGGAGTTGCATGAAGTCCTGCATCACACCATGGCCAATGTAAATGGCAAAGCCTATCGGACTATGGTCAACCAGCTGTTCTCTCAGAGCATCTCCCCTGTCACAGAATACACTTATGACATGGATGTGTACAAGGTAGGCTGATCAAAGCTTTGTGTTCAAGTATGAAAGTTTTTTGCAAGGTTTTTAAATTATCCCTGCAAATAATGCACTGCTAATGTATCTGTAAATCAGATTTCTATTGAGATTTCAGAGTTGATCTTTTTATACTTTATTGTAGTTATGTTGAGACTCACAGTATTCCCTTATATTCTCCTGTTGTTCTCTGCCAGTGGTTCAATATGGAGAGCAAAAATAAGTAGGGGCAAGGGATTTCCTTGTCGTATTTGCCTATATACAGTACATTAAAGCTCTCTGACAAATTCTATATCCCTTGCTTGTGCTTTTAGTTGTTTATACATTGTAGCCAAGCAATGAAGTATGAAAATAGAATAATACCATGTCAAATGCCTTTTGTTCATCCGGAGTTAATATTAAAGATTATTTATTTCAATAATATATTATTTAAATAATTCATTATGTTAGTTGTCAAATCTTGGATTGAAGACGCTAGAATGGAGAACTGCATCAGTGTGTGAGCTACAGTAGAACTAGCAGATGTTAATTCTGTACTAAATGTTAAATGTTCCGTAGTTAATGTAGAAAGAAGAAAAACTACACAGCCTGTGTTCAGTGGCTCTGAATTTTTTTTTCTTTTCATACTTCTGCATGAAATTAACTTCTACTAATTACTTTGTCTCAAGATGTACAGATGGAGTGGCAGGTGACTCCTTTGTGATTGTAAGCACAAGATTGTTGAGCTTTTAAAAAAAACAGTTAAAGGAATGTTTGTACATCATCTCGAAAACCAATGAAACTGTTCTCACAGATGTATCACAATACCTGTTTTCTTTTTCTGGAATTGAATCATTTACATTTTTTAAGGATTTGAGCTCTGCTTCCTTCAGCTCTGAACTGAGAGGCAATGAATGTATTATTATGTAGCCTAAGATAGATGGTCTGTAACTTTTAAAATATGAAACAAATCCATTTAATCCATAGAAGATTCCAAATGAAGCAACTCATTATACAATTCCAGCACGTCGCAAAAAATACTGTATCTCCACATAACTCTAGCACTGTGGGATATAAGTTTGACATAACATCTGTGAGGTTCTTGGGTTTGACTGAAAAACAATGAGGATGATGGATGTAATCCATCATATAGTTTGTGGTGTGATGTTGAAAACAGTACGGTAAAAAGTATGGATTTTCATTTATTGCACTTTTTTGTCCTACATAGGGCAGTTTTTCTGCTTCAAGTGCCAAAATACAACAGCATGTATTTGAAACGGTTAGCAGGATCTTCAGAAAACATGGTGAGTTCCAAGCTTTTTGCCAGCTAACACAGATAAATCTAATAAAAACCTTATTTCAGTTTGATTAGTTCAAGTCTGAGAATGCAAATAGACATAACTCTATTCACGTACAATGTTTTTGTCATATCTCGTGAAATTACTATTTCCTTTTATGATATTAATTACAATTTGTACTGTATGTATTTTTATTGTAAATTATTGGTTGAAAGAGTTATGTTCACATAGCTTAGTTAGTTTCTGTTTTGTGGGCTGAACTGTATTAATTGTAAAGTCAGTGTAGCCCTCAATCATAAAATAAGAAACATGGTTTTAACACACCAGGAAAGAGACACATCAAAAACTTTACCAGCTGTTTAGAGTTTTTGTTTTCAATTAGTTTTCTAACAAGGAACTTTTGTGCCTTTCAGGGGCAGTGAAGTTACAAACACCCCTTTTCATGCCAAAGAATAAGAAGCTTTATGAGAGCAGTGAGGTGGTGTGTTTTATGGACCATAGTGGCATGCTTGTCACTTTGCCCTATGATCTCAGAGTAAGCACAAACAAGTGGCAGATGTTGTCATGCATTTACTTTTATAGATATTCCACTTACTGTTGTTGCTTATCCTTATGTTAGCCTTAAACCATTTTTGTTGTAAAACTAATACAGCTCAAACTAGTATTTATTAATTTGTTTTCTTAAATATTCCTGCTTTGATATGGCCATTGTTCTAATTCTCCTGATCAGCTAATTGACTTGAGCTGTCTGATTTTTGTTTCCACTTCAGCTCCCTTTTGCAAGATTTGTGGCAAGAAATAACATTACGAATTTAAAACGGTAATATCCCTTTGGAAGAATTTATCTCAGTATAAAGTGCCTTGCAAAAGTATTCAGACCCTTGCGCAGTTTTTTCATTTCATTGCTACTTCGAAGTATCCTTAATAAATATGAAAGAAAAATTGAAAAGTCATGATTGCATAAGCATTCAGACAGACCTTTTGCTGTTGTAAACCTAAATGAAATTAGGTGCACAAAGTTACCTTAAGGTGCCACACAAGTAGTTGCATGGCCTCTATGTGTGTGCAGTAATATTGGTCTCATGATTTCAGATTCCAATTTCAAATTCCTTGCTCAGGAAGTCCATTTCAAGGTTTCAGCCATGAAGGTTGAGGAGTTTTCTATGAAAGTCAGGTATTAAAGTCATTTAAAAGCGGAGATCGGGCAAAGGGTGGGGAAAATATCAAAGTCTCTGGAAGGTGCATCCTACTCACCCTACCACCCAAACACTGCCTAGACCAGGCTGTCCCTCTAAACTGAGCAACTGGGTAAGGAAGAGATTGGTGAGGGATGCCACTGTGAGGCCAACAACAGCTTTGAAGGAGCTATGGAATTCAGTAACATAATCTTTGAAGGAGCTATGGAATACAGTGGTCAAGATGGGAGAAAAGGTGCATTAGTCAACAATATCGTGGTCACTCCACAAAAAGTATGGCAAAGTGGAAACTCCTGTATGGAGTAAATCCTGCAACAAAGCACATGAGCACCTGCAGAAATGGGGCAAATGGTGTGGTGGTCAGATGAACCCAAACTGGTCTAATATTTTTGTCTAAGTGCCAAGCATTACATTTGGCACAGATCTATCACAGTCCGTCTTCCATTTAACACCATCCCTGCAGTCAAAGATGGTGGTGGAAACATCATGGAGGAGAGGAGAAGCCTCTCCTCAGCAGGGATTTAAAGCTTGTTAGAATTGAAGGAAAAAGGATAGAGCAAAATACAGGCAAATACAAGAGGCAACTAGACTCTCTGCTAAAACCTTTAAACTGGGGTGAAAATTCAGCTTTAAGCAGCACAGTGACTTAAAGCACAACGCCAAAGCTACACTGGACTGGTTTAAGAATAAGAAAGTAAATGTCCTTTTGAGTGGTCCAGTAAAAATACTGACCAGAATCTGTGAAAAGACCAAAAGCAACTTATGAGACTTGGTCAAGAGGAGTGGGCAAAATTGCACCAAGCCAGTTTGCAAAGTTGGTAGAGACTTACCTAAAAAGCTGCCATAAGAGCTTCAGCTAACGGGGGCCTAAATACTTCACGGGCCTAAATACTTATGCTGTGAAATATTTCAGCTCTTTCTCTTTAGTTTCTGCTAAATAATACTTATGGTAACGTTGCATTATAAATGTTGAGGTATTGAATAAAATAATGCATGCATCATTTTGTAATTCCACAAAAATGGGGCACCATAGGAAGGGTCTGAATACTTTTTCCAAGGTATGTCATTGTGTCTGTCATGATAGAATGAAAAAGGCTTTTGAAATACAAAATAAATATGGTATCTTTGCTGTACATGACCTTTAATACTTTATACTTAGTGTACTTTTTAGCCATTAATTAACCACTAATTTTACTTTATACCTCTCAGGTACTCTAATGTTGCCTTCCAGCTGTGGTTATGAATATACATATTGCATTCCTAAAATTACTTTCTAACTCCAGTAATGTAAATCTTTTTGGTTTATCTTTTGATTTGATTTGATTTTGAAATAGTTGATATTCTATTTAACAGTAATTTCTATGACTTCGTACTATATATTTTTATGTTTCTGTGCTCTGTAGGTACAGTATTGAAAGAGTCTTTCGTCCTCGGAAGTTAGATCGCTCTCATCCACGGGAACTGTTGGAATGCGCCTTTGACATCGTCACAACCACAGCCAACAGCCTTCTTCCTGATGCAGAGACTATATATACCATCTCCGAAATCATTCAGGAGTTCGCTGTGCTTCAGGTGGATACCTCTTTTAGACAATTACCTGTTTTAAAAAACACTGATTATGACTTCA